CAAGGCCGTTAATGATTTTTTCCCGTACAACTATAAAAACGTTGTGGGTTTTTAGCGCAAGGGTAGCTCGAAATTTAACGCTTGCACAAATAACGAGATTTTGAGGTCAACGACGACTCCAACGTTTATCTTTTTTTTTAAATGATTGACTGCATTTAGCGCTATTCCATTAGACGACGAGTGTCCACATATCCACATAACTATCAGTAAAAACTGCTGTTCTTTAACGACGCCTTAATTGCACTTTTACTGAATTTATCTTCGTTTTTGTCTTGTCAATTGTGACGTGTGAAGTTTTGTTTGTTTTCTCCTCGAAGAGTATTTTTAGATTTAATGGTATGTTTTTGTGTCAGTCTTAAATAAACATTAACTGTCACTCAGAATTTTAGTTGTTTAATCGAACTATTTCTATTGTGTTTCGGTGACACAGTAGGCGCGCGGAATTTACAATGCGAAAGTGTTGTCTCCCATTTCCGTCGGTATGTCTGCTGGCGACTTTATTAGACATGTAATGTCCACGAAATTTAGGTAAACTTCAAGAACATTTTCTATAATAATAATAATAAGAACAATTATTCTTTATTAAATTTTATCAATTCATCTCCTGCCCAAAAACTGATGACGTCATACAATTCATTTCACTAGAAGTGTATCGAACGCCATGTTCCTTTATAGTTTGACTCTTTATTAGAGCGATCTTTCAGTGAGAGCGTCGACAGTAACAAAACGGCGCTATATTTGGTCCGCCCGGTACATCATCCCGTCCGAGCTTTCGCCATCCGTCGTCCGTCACGCTGCCGCCCCTCGGCCCTCGACTCCGCACCTCGTACGGCGTCCCGTTCTTCGCCGCCGCCCCCAAAACAAATAATCGTCGTCGGCAATTGATCCGCGTCCGAAAATAGCCGCCGCATCGTCCGAATGAAAATTTTTGTTCGTTTCCATTAGCGCCCGCGCGAATTTATTGTCACACGGCGGCTAAATAATTGACGAGATTTCTATTTCGGATGGTGCGGCCGGCGTGGCGAGCTTTAGTGAGTGCGGTAGATCGATGTGGGGTGGCGTACTCGCACGCGGCAGTGCATCCGCAGAGAGGCCAAACTTTTGACCCCCGAACGAACGTACCCCTGACCTAGTCGTACCGAGGCGAGGTCAGGCGCCGGCTCAAATGCCGCCCCGCAGTAATTTTTACGTGCAATTACGGGACGAAAACCGCGAATTTAACGAGACAGTTCACATTTACGTGACATATAAAAGGGGGTACGGAGATCGGACCGCGTTTGATTTGATTATCGTTTATTAGCGAGCTGCCGCCGCTGCGCCATTTTTTACGAGGCCTTGAACTTTGCCGGATTCAAAAGGAGGTTTGGGCGAACGGGGAGCTTCATCTCGGCCCGCTTTCACCGGATAATGGATGTTAATAGGCGCACCTGCTGGTGCTGCTGCAGTGGCTGACGGAGGAGCGGATGTTGGGACGTGGATCGAGGGGGTAAAGTGCGATCGCAGAAAACGACGTCAAGGAGAAAGTGGACATTTAACGGTTTTGTTCGGCGTAGTAATTATTATTATTATTATTATTATTATTATTATAAAGACCCAACAGACTAAAGTCCACTTAAAGGGTCTACAAAATAGCAAAACAAAAATATATGAACAGAAACCATACAATTCACACCATTCACAGACAGCGCAAATGAAAAGAAAAAGAGAACAGAAATACAATATAATTCAGGCAGAGACAACACAAGAGTGCTGAAAATCACACCCATCTCATACAGAGAACTGTCTAAGTGTATTTGTGCAGAAGTGTTTGCGTAATTCAATCATAATATCTTTTTTTTTATTCAAGTGAATATCGTAGTTATTCATTAGCATGTTGAAAGTATCACACATTTTATAAATAGGCGACCGGAATAAGATATTAGTTAATTGTGAGACGGCTCCCGTTGTTACACCGGGAAACGGGTTATAAATTGAAAAAATCATCTTTATATTTACGGTAAGTTTTGAAAAAGAAGGTTAATGATTAATGAATAATCCACGATAATGATTTTTTGTTTCATTGTCTCAGTCCGTGCTCTTGTGGTTAACCAAAACAACATTAATTGAAAAAAAAAACACGTTACACACACCTGATAAATCTGACGTAAATTCTTTTAAACAGTTAAAAACAAAAAGTTAGCAAGTGTAAGTTTAAAAAAAAAATAGTTTCGTTCACTTTTTCTCTCGGATAAACTTTCTTCCCCAGCGCGACATCACGACTTTTATTTTCAATTTTTTCTCTATTTATCAGAAATAGTTGCTGATGTTGTAATGTGAATGCTGAAAATTTATTGTAATTATTGTTATTATGAAAAATACGAATCTGTAAAGAATCCTTCAATGATAAAACAAATAAATTTTCGCAGTTTTGTAGTTAAATCTGGCAAAACCGCCAACGAGAAAATATCCGTGTTTAAAAAACTTTCAGAAAACATAAAAGCGAACATCCAGCGATCCGACCGACTGCGCCAAACCCACAAACCCGCCTTTTAATTCGCCCTTGAACGATTCCGAAATTATCTCTGCAAATGACAACATCATCAAAACTCCGAGGAAAAAAGAAACCGACCATCCGGCGGCTCCTTCTCTGCGCTCCGCTTTTCCGCCCTCCGGCCGCCGTCCCCTTGCGGCAAATCCGCGCCTCCCAATCCGAAAAATCCTTGACCTTTATCTCGTCGAAAATCGTAAATAATTCCGTCTGAAAATTTCAGGCCGCGTTGGCTGGAGGCCGCCGATAAATAACCGTCAAAGGTCAAATCAGCGCCTCCGCGAGTTCAAATCCGCGATTATAGGTGGTGGTGGTGGCGGCGACCGCCGCCGCACAGATTCAATCTTCGGCTTAGTGCCCGTGTCAAAACACATTTGTATGGGCGACAAGTCACGTGTTCGCTCGCCAGTAAATTAACCCTCTTCGGAATTTCGTCGTCTCTCTTTTTTCCCCGCGCTGCGCCCTCTCCCTCATCTAATTTAAACCGAATCTTGGGAATATAGCGCAAAAATCGATCGCGCCAATCGCGGACATCCATTACCGGGTCATCGGCGTTATTAATCGTCGGCAAAAAGTCGCCGACACAGAGTCAACAGCGGAATCGGATTGAATTAATTCGAAACACGATTGATCGATGTAGCCATAAAAGAGTGCTCGATGATAATAATCGGGCGAACGATGCTCGACGCCGGCCATTGTTCTCGCTGATAAATGGTTTTAATAACGCACTCGTTAAGACGGGGAGGGTGGGTGGTGGTGAGCTACTTGGCGTCGCTAATTATCGCCGAAATCCGATCGGAACGAAGAAAACAAAAATGCAAAGCGCTAATGGACGGTGCAAAAATGAATTACGACCCGACGGCCATTAAGTAATTTGGTTTAAGTTGTTTGCGTTCTGGTCGGATTACGAAATGATAAATAATCCCAAGGACGAACCTTGAAAGCTTCGGCTTCGTGCGTCTGACGACCTCGGGGCCCACCTGGAACAGAAACAGAACTAATTCAGACGGGCATCGAGCGAGGGCGAGTGCGGCGCGCCGTGCCAAAATTCGAGGTTGGGTTTTTTTCTCCTCGAGCGTTGAGGTAAGAGTTGCGTTTCGGCCGCATTCTTTTTTGCGTCTTCCACCTTTTCGAGGCGGAAGGGTCGCTGCTTCGAACCTACTCGTTACCCGTTTTCCCCGTGGCTGGTTTTCGCAGTTTTCTCCCTTCCGCCCGGGCCAATTTTCCCATTCTTCTCCATCCCGTCATTATCACGCATGATGAATTCCGGGCCAGACGGTACACAGTATTCAATAATTAATTCCCCTCGGTATTGTTGTTTGTGATCTGATAATTAGTGCGTCGTTGACAATATTGAAGAGAACAAGCGTAATCACCGCACGGAACAATTATTTCGAGGCTGGAACAATGCGGCGGGAACAATGCATATTAATAAGTACGATTTATGGGCCGCCATCTAAGATATGGGACGTATAAACGTCCTTTATGCGACCCGGCGGCCATATTTCACGGTGAAGGACGCTGTCCGAGGCTCTATCGCCGTAATCGCTTAAAGTTCGAACGGAAGGAAACACCCAGCTGACAACTCCACCTGCAATAATCGCGTACGCGCTCTCCGTCTCCGTCTCGACTTTGTCGCTTCGCCTAAAACGTCTATAAGCAAATTCGGGACCACGCAACCGCTATTCATCGGGGAGACGGAGTCGTTACACAAAGAATCAACCATAATAATACCCGCAAAGTTCGTATACAAGAAACTTGTTCATTTAACAGCCTCGGTTCGGCGTATACAGACGCTTTAATAACTTCGGTAAGAGGCCGTTAAATCCTTAATACCCCCCGTAATTAATACTTTCATGCATAAGGGCAAAAAACGACTTCGGGCACGAAATGCGCCTTTCGGGGAGTCACGTAACGGAGACGCTACGCGTAACCCTCGACCGATACGATACGTTACGCACTCGCACCAAAGATTACGTACAAACAACGACTCGACTCCCCGTCGCAACGTCCGCAATTAGAGCGAAATGCAGATTCGGCTCGTTCCCGTCCACTTCGCCTCGGAAATCTAGTTTGCCAGAACGGCTTAAACTTAATCTAAGAAAACAGATCTCGTCTAGATGCACGAGATATTCCGACGGGAACGTAAAACTCCGACGTCGGGACTCCTTTACGCGGTAGCGTTTCGAGTTTGGCGCGCTAATGGAATCTTCGCCCCGTTCCGAACTTGCGGAATATTTTAAAGCTTGATGGAGATTTGATGTCGTTATCGGAATCTTCACCGGACGCGATATTGTGGGCTTGCGTGCGAATCGCGTGCATGTCATGTCCACACCTTGGATTTTTCGTTCCGATAACAATACGGCAAAAAATTAAATTACATGTTGGTTTTTATCAAAGTGCAGATTGTTGATTTATCGCACAATTACGATTTGACAACTTTTTTCAGCTCCAGATGTTTGTTTTGTTTCAGAACGCAGGGGTACTGAGTGCCGGTTACTCCGACCTAGCTGAGCAATATGCCACCGCATGCTGTGTACTGTTGACATTCATCCAGTAAGTAAGGTACGTCCCGCTAAGTAAAGAGACAAGATTTGATCTTCAGCAAACCGTAAGCAAGCTGTTGACAAAGTAAGATTATACCGACTACCGTCGAATGTTCGGCAAAGAATGGAGAGACCTTCAGTTTACCGTATAATTAAAAGGTTCGAGGAGGACGTTCTGAGTCCGTAGCTTCCAAAAATACTATAAGAAATCGATTCGTTATAATTTACACGTCTCGAGATTTATTCAGTTTGCTGTAACGTACCTAATCTAATTAATAGTTGTTAATAGTAGTAAATTGGGTTGATTCGAAATTTGTCTCTTTACTTTTGGGAGAGCCCATACTCTCGAAAAGGTAGAAATTCGAAAACCCCTCACGACTGCGCCAAAATTGAAACTCCCGTCGCGGCCGATTAGAAATCGGTCTGGTGGTGTGCGCGTGGGCGAGACGCGAAAGCCCCGTGCAGGTCGCCGCCGCATTTCGAATACAATACCAAAAGGTGTCTTTGACGGCCCTGCCGAAACCTTTACCCCACGCGGGTTTTAAGCCCATGTTTTCCCTGATCGTTAAAATGGTGGCTGCGCACGTGATATATTGAAATTTCTTTTTCCGACTTATCTGTTTGCGATATCGACGGCCCAGAAAAGTTCCGAGAAGGGATCCGGACCCGCAGGACCTTCACGGTCCGTAATTATTTGCCTCGGCTGCGGGCGGCCGACGCAAAGGAACGCCGAGCCGTACGTCCGCTGGAATACGGACATAATGAGCCCATCCCTATACACAGGTAACATGATCCCATTACGTCCGTACACAATGGCAGCGAGAGCAGCGCCCTAGGCGCCGAGCTCTAGCACTGCACTAATTACGATCGGAGTGAGCTCGCTAATTGGAGACCCGGGATAGACCCGGTCGACCGGACTCGCCTATTATGAGTTACGCGGATGCAGGCGCCGACTGCAGGACCGGATCCGTTAGTTTAAGCTCATTTGCATCGGCACCGATGCTTAATCCGGGTAATTTAACTAGTTTGACGCCCCGGACGGACATTGGCGCGCTCCGATGCGCCGCAAACAGAGCGAAATAAATTTTCATTAGGGCGCTCGCTGCTCCCTTTTTTTTTTCGTTCTCTCCTCTCGTCGAACCAAACAATAGCCGGCGTATGCCGGATCGATGCCGGCTTTAAAGAGTTCCGGGTCGGGACTAGACAACCGGGTCTCATCAAAAACAGATGTTGCCCTTTCATTATCGCAAGAAAGCTCGTTAAAAGTTTCAACCCGTGGCGATTCGGTGCCGGTTTCCGCTAATTATTCGCGGCGAGCGGCCGCCGAACGACCAGGAACTGGCGGCGGCAGTCGAGTGCGCTCGAAAAACAATCCAATACGCCAACTCGACGAAGTTTCGTCCGCAGTTAACTCGGACGAGTGCTTTCGGCCTTTTTTTATTTCGCGTAAGCCGATCGGTAATTATCAGGGCTTTCCGGATTCGCGTCGATGTTTATCCGTTTCGGATCCGCAGCATTATCATAATCTCGCCTCGGACGATTCTTCCCTTCGGCGCTTTCCCTTTCCTCGACGCATGCATACGTTCCGAAAGGAAGACCGTCGATGATCTTTAAAGTTGCGATCCCGGCTCCCATCAATCTCCTCGGCGGTGCCGTAAAATCGAATCCTCCTCGAAATCTCGAACACGACCTTGCGAGATGGTGCACTTGTGGCGTTCTTCGGGCGAACGGCCGTTCCTTCGTGCGCTCGCTCAAAAATAGATTCTCACGAATCTTTGCTCGAATCTCATCTATATAATTGCTCCTTATCGGTAATAAAAAGCCTTATCGGTCTGTGTCGAAACCTTTATTTTCTTTTACTGCCGTTTTACTGCCCGAATAGTGCGCCGCCTCCTTGCGCGCTTCCAGGTCGCGTACGAGCGGCCCTTCGCAAACGGCCGCCTAAATCATCCGCTGCGGTCCGACCCGGAGTCCAGCGGTAATGATCCGCTCGGTTATTTATAGCTTGTTTTGTTTCAGAATTATTGAAAAGCGATGACTGGAGCGTGGGCGGCCTGCCTGCTGGTGAGCTTTCTACTTCCCTCATGCATCCCGACAGCGCACCGAGGCCGCCACCACCCCCCCGAGCCTCACGCCGAAGCCTACCACATGTCCCGGGACACGTTGTTCGACCCCCACCGGGACTCGGAGGAGTTCCGTCGCGACGCCCCCGACGACAAGCGGGAGTTCACCAGGCGCGACTCCGAAGATGATCCGCTCGTGATCCAGACCAAGAAGGGCAAGGTCCGCGGCATGACGCTGACCGCCGCCACCGGCAAGAAGGTGGACGCGTGGCTGGGCATCCCCTACGCGCAAAAGCCCCTCGGCGGGCTGCGCTTCCGACACCCTCGGCCGAGCGAGAAGTGGGACGGCGTCCTCAACGCGACCGCGATGCCGAACTCGTGCGTACAGATCATAGACACAGTGTTCGGCGACTTCCCGGGCGCCACCATGTGGAACCCCAACACGCCTCTGAGCGAGGACTGCCTGTACGTGAACGTGGTGGTGCCGAAGCCGCGGCCGACCGCCGCCGCCGTCATGGTGTGGGTGTTCGGGGGCGGGTTCTACTCGGGCACGAACACGTTAGAAGTTTACGACCACAACATCCTAGTTTCCGAAGAGAACATTATTCTAGTTTCGATGCAGTATCGGGTGGCTTCGCTCGGTTTCCTCTATTTCGGGACGCCGGACGTTCCCGGAAACGCCGGCATGTTCGATCAAATGATGGCGCTCCAGTGGGTACACGATAACATCGCCGCCTTCGGCGGCAACCCCAACAACATCACCCTGTTCGGGGAATCGGCCGGCGCCGTCTCCGTCTCCCTCCATCTGCTGTCTCCCTTGTCGAGGAACTTGTTCTCGCAGGCGATCATGGAGTCGGGGAGCGCGACCGCGCCGTGGGCGATCATCTCGAGGGAGGAGAGCATCCTGAGGGGGCTGAGGTTGGCCGAGGCCGTCGGTTGTCCGCACGAGCGGCACGAAGTATCGGTCGCCATCGATTGTCTGAAGAAGAAGGACCCGGTGGATCTGGTCAACAACGAGTGGGGCACGCTGGGGATCTGCGAGTTCCCCTTCGTGCCGGTCATCGACGGGGCCTTCCTCGACGAGTGGCCGTCGCGGGCCCTCGCCAACAAGAACTTCAAGAAGACCAACATCCTGATGGGCTCCAACACGGAGGAGGGCTACTACTTCATCATCTACTACCTGACCGAGCTCTTCCGGAAAGAGGAGAACGTTTACGTGAACCGGCAGGAGTTCCTGCGGGCCGTCACCGAACTCAATCCCTACTTCAACTCCATCTCGCGTCAGGCTATCGTCTTCGAGTACACCGACTGGCTCAACCCGGACGACCCCGTCAGCAACCGCGACTCGCTGGACAAGATGGTCGGCGACTACCACTTCACCTGCAACGTCAACGAGTTCGCCCACCGGTACGCCGAAACCGGTAACACCGTCTACATGTACTACTACAAGCACCGGACGGTGAACAATCCGTGGCCGTCGTGGACGGGGGTGATGCACGCCGACGAGATCAACTACGTGTTCGGCGAGCCGCTCAACCCCACCAAGAAGTACACGCCGCATGAGGTGGACCTCAGCAAGAGGATCATGAGGTATTGGGCCAACTTCGCCAAGACCGGGAACCCCAGCCAGTCGCCGAACGGCGTCTGGACGCCGACCTACTGGCCTCCGCACACCGCTTTCGGACGGGAGTTCCTCACCCTCGACATCAACTCCACTGCCACGGGCCGGGGACCCAGACTCAAGCAGTGTGCCTTCTGGAAGAAATACCTACCTCAGCTCCAACAGCAAACGAGTGAGTAGCGGCGGCGCGCCTTCTGCTGCTCCGCCGCCCGCCTTTCAACCAAATTATGCACGTGACCCGACTTCCTGCGAGCGGAACAAACACATTATGCCGCCGCCGGAACGCAAATACCTGCTCCCGGTAAAACGGAGGAGGCGGCCTCGTTCGACGCGCTCTTTTTCGAGGCTTCGACCCACACTGGGACGATTTAAAAAATACGAATCAGTCTGATTCTGTCAAAAAACATCATAAAATCTCAACTAAATTAACAACAAACGAAACTTTTATTTTCAAAAGGCATCGGAAATGCCATTTTTTCAGAAATCCAGGCTGGTATTTCGGGCGTAACAATTTTTGGTCGATTTTTGTATACACAGTTCAGATTTGCTATACGAGCTGTGGCATTATCCTGTTGGAAGAATTAAAAACGAATGTTTGTTTTTACAATTTTGGTATTTTCAGATTCGTCCCAGTGTGCGATCGAGAGGCCGCGGAATCGTCCGCGTAACGCCCGGATTTGCGCGGGACGGAACATGTTTGGATAACGGCTTGCAACGGAGCGAAGCCGAGTTTATGCAAATGCAATTTGGGCCGACCGAAGTAGCTTTTACGTTTCGTCTAACTCGGTTAGGCTTTCGCCCCGTCATCTCGGACACTTTGCGTTCCCGGATCCGATTAAAACGTCGAGAACGGATGGTTCGAATCGCGAATTTCGTCAAAAAAGGGTTCGCGATTCGTCGGCGTGGCGTTAAAAATGCGCCAAAGTTTAGGTCCCTCGGCGCGTTCGCGTGTTTGCCTACCTGTTAAATTGGGTCCGTATATTCGCGGTTTCCCCGGAAAAATATCTGCGGGCCGTTCGTGTTTGTCTTGTGAATTCGTCGCGTCGCGTAAGCCGGCAATTTCATAGTTGAGGGGTCCGTAATTCAGTGGGAAATTATAAAACATTTACCTCTCTCTGCATCGCCGTTCCGCCGCGGACCCGTGCAACGCCGAAATGAAACATTGTTGTGTTCGCTCGCTACCCTATTCCAATTTGGCTGCGTAATTGGACCAATCAAGCTGTCACGTTATTTCCCAATAACAATAAGACGCGTTCGGAGCCGACGTAGGGAGCGAGCGAGAGGGAAGAATCAGGAATTCGTTTCGTCGGCTTTATATATATTTAAGTGGGCACATTTGCGACCTGTAATACAATGACTGCGGCGAACCTTCCAACGACCACCGAGCACACCCCGCGGGAATACGGAATGCCTTTTTTAAGGCGCGCGTCCAGAATATCGGCGTCGCGACGACGACGTCGGCACGAACGCGCCTCCGTTGCGACATTTCCTCCTCCGCCCTCTCCGCAACGAAGAGATTAACGCGGAAATTCATCATGGAAATTAAAAAGTCTGTAGTGAGATAATTTACGCGCGTTAAATATTTACTCGGCCCGGCGGTCGACACTCGACGTTTTTCGCCTCCCTAAATAATTTAAGTTAATTTTTCTCCGACCCCCTCCGAAACTCGTCGACGGCGGGCAGGAGGTTGCGTTCTCGAATTCCCGCCAACTGCAGCCGATCCGAACTCATCGATTCATCCCTTGTTGCAGACGATCTCCAGAACCAGCCGCCTCGCCAGAACTGTACCGACGGAGCGAGCTCCTTGCGGTGGTCGCTGGGCGGCGCTGGCACCCTGCTGATGGTGGCGGCAGTGGCGGCGCTCCGATCGGGGCCCTTCTAACAGAAAAGAAACCAACCCAGAGGAATTCCCTTGAAGCGCATTAGGAACATAGCGCCTTGAAACATATCCGTTAGTGTGTGAGGCATTAAAATTCATCCAAAACCAACACAAAACAAGGAATTCGACGAGTCGATTTATAGATTTTCGCTTTTACGCTACGTAGAGTCAATCAATGCTGCAGCAGACTCGCTTGTGACGTAACAAAATTCATGTTCACCCGGCCTATACAGGTGGCTGCAATGCGATCGGAATTGTCGAATCGCGCTGAAAGACTAAAAGGAAAAGATCATTTTTCTGTTTTTCGCATAGGTGGTGAGAGGGCGCTGCCAGCGACCATACGCACTAAATTTTTATACTTCTTGTAATGATACGGACCAGTGTTTACGAGGTTGCAGAGATTGCTTCTTAGCAGCTTAATGTTAGGGCCTATTACTGTTAGTTCTTAGCCACTATCACTTAGTTCTAGGGCTGTGCATTTACATGTGAAACGAATTTTCTGTCTCCCTTTGGCCGGATCTGTCGTCGCTCTCAGCAAAGATGGGCAGGGACGGACGCCCTGAACAAATGCCAAATTGATTAAAAAAACCAAAAAAAAAAAATCATGGAAAAAACAACTACATACATAAAACTAAACTCTGCTATACACTATGTCTTTGCTGCCTTATGAATTCATGAACAAATAGTTGACAAATAACTATTGGATCTCTCTATCCTAGTCTAGTAGATAGTACTCTAGTGCCTCCGCGATAGTAGTATTAGCGTTCTGAGTGATTTTTATCGATTAACAAAACATTTTCATGTCACGTAGTCACTCAGTCGCCTTTTTTCTTACGCTCGCCCTGCATTTACTACTCAAACATATCCAGATTATGGTGCAAAACAAAACTATCTAAAATACCTAATTAAACTTAGAAAATACTCTCAAAACACTCTGTACATAACTAAAGAACAAAAAAAAAACAACTCTTATGTTTAGCTGAATTGGATGTTGTAGAAAAGACGGCGGACGCCACGTTGCATCCCAGCCAAACCTGTACATATCCGTGATGCCCCCGCCCCCGATTAGATCAGTATTACCAACGCTCCAGCGTCGTGCCACTAGAACCTCAGACTGTCGTTGTTGATTTTTTCTTTTCCCTCGTCTCTACTCGTAGAAAATCGCACGAAAGTGGAACGTGGCGACCTCTGTCACTCTGTAGATAAGTGTTAGTTAAGTTATTGGCATCGATAGGTAAGAAGTGGCAATGCTTCTGAATTAATTAAAGTCAAACTAATAATTGTTATCACCAGAAAGCAGATGGCGCCGCGGCATGACGGCGCACGAGATTAAGCACGTACGCCGTGTTTCCGCCGCCCCCTCTGCGAAACTCGACCAGTAATGTAAATTTTGTAATGTTGTCGTAGATTTTCATAAAATTGCACTGGGTGTGAACTAGATAATCGTTTTATTTTTTAGATTGACGAGAACGGTTTATTTCGCGTTGATCGCTTTACAATGAACAATGACGATGTAATTTGCAGTTTGATGTGAGCATTCACGACAAAATGTTTAATGTTATTTTACTATTAACAAAGTTTTATAAAAGACACTGCGACTGGCTGAAAATAATACTTGAAACAAACTCTAGAGAAAAGTAAAGTGTCTCGAGAATAAGTATTAGGTGTTCCAGAAATAAATAATGAACATATCATTATAGGTTTAGTCAGATAGAATAAACTACATATCCATGCTTTATGATACTCAGTACAGTTTGTAGGCTACTCTTTGATTGCTTAGAAACGATAATCTTTGTGATATTTTCCTTGAGTTGTTGTAACTGACCGTTGCGTACCTTATTGCCGAACCAACATGTGTACCTTTCGCATTGTGATGGACCCACATTCTTCCAAAACATATCGTTTCTAAGTACTTGAATATGTTCAAAATACGGCTTGTCAGATTCTTCCAGTTTCAATCTAAGGGCTACCTTCGAGTAATAATTAAGCAAAAAGGAAAATTAACTAAGTATAAACTTTAAAAGCCTAATAGAAACAGCGAAATTTAAAATGAAAAATTGTCCAAAGCAATTTATTCTTCTTATGAATTTATTTTATAAAACTATTTAAACTTAGTTATTGTGATAAGAATATAATATGAAGAGAATATTTAAACGGTATACTTATATGGGTTATATTCTCGTTTGCGTTCAGAGAACTTACCGACCGTAGTATTCGTTTTCGTTACGTTTACCGTCATGTTAGTCGATACAGTACTACAACTATTTATGCTACTATAGATGGCCTATAGTCTACAGTAAACTATGCTTATTATTTAAAATATATTGTAAAATATTATTATAAATATATTATTGATTATAGGATTGTTGTAGGCCATTGGCTGTATAATTATTATTGAAGATTGATTGAATTAAAATAAATGAATGCTTGTACAGAAAACGTCTTTTCGTGGACCCGAACTCCCCCCAAAGTCTTCCCAGCACAAAGGGCCGTTTTACTATTTTTCGCCATACCGGCGCATACAAGTGCACCGTTTCCGCCGCCAATTTAAAATAATCGCACGCTTTTTATCGCCTTTTCGTCGTTAACCCTTGCTCACTCCATAAAAATCTCGCCAGTCACTCCTCCAAGAACGCTTTCTCACCACGCGTCGGCAATGAATAATCGCGCCGTTATCTTCTCCCATGCAAGGTGAACAAATAAAGCCCCGCATTTTTATCTGTTTAACTTTGCCCCATTTTTCGACGCAAAATCGCACGCTCTCGACCTTCTTCGCCCAGGAGATAACGGGACCCTGGGCACGCCGCCAAAAATATCTCGTCCAAATCTGGTCCATTACGTAACGTCATACACGCGGTTTTTTTATCTAAACAAACCGAGGATGGAGATGGATCAAGGCCGCCGACAATTATACACTACGTGATTGAAATTAAACGGTGCCATCAACCAAACAATAATAATACCGACGTCGACCAATCCGATCGAACCCATTTCGCGTGCCCGCAACACCACCACCAGCAGCCAGCGGCTCTAACCTCACTTCGAGATGAGACGTCGATGTGTGTCGATGTGTTCCTCGCGTTCGGTTACTTAACTATGACTTAAGTTAGGGATTCGATTGGTTCTAGTGCCTTAATTGTACTTAAATATGGATTCGAGCAAGAAGTACGATCACCCCTCTCCGGAGGAATCGGCGAATCCGCTGTCGAAGCTGTTCTTTGTGTAAGTACGGATGCGAACTTGGCAAAGATATTATTTGGTGCATTTTGTTTCGCTGCGCTTTGTTAAACGGCTGTATCGTTATACAATCGATAAATTGGCTATTGTTGTGGACTTTTATGTAGACCAACTGTCGCACAATCGATAATTTGTCGCTAACAATAGTGCGTGAATCTTATTGTCCGTAATAACAGCCTGAGGTTAGCAGGGTAATTAAGTTGCAAGGACGAATTAAGAGTCCAGGGATTCGTACTATGCACACTTGTCGCTTAAACTTAAACAAGAAGTATGCAAGTCATTCGCTTTTTTTCCATTGGGTGTGTAAATCCCGGCGCCAGGTGTTGCGATCGGAATATTAAACAGACTTCTAATAATAATAATAACAAATAAAATCGTCTCGCTTTATCTTTTGCCACTCCATTATTTACATAATTACGCAATTAGCTAACACTTTGTCACCACCTAGTATATCAATTTTGAGTGGCAGCGCATGAGGAAAATGTGCCGTGTATGCAAACAAATTTGCACCGGAAGAACATTTTTGAACATCATTAGACGTGTATTGGGTTGACCAAAAACGCCCTGCCCTGTGTGCAAATACTACGCCCTCAGAAAACAAATTATTTTTATTCTACTATCTTTGTGTCAACACAGGAACGATTTTAGTTTTCGATAAAATTAAGTGCGAGACCAACCTTCGCAAATATCGTTAATCCTTTAAAACTGCATCGATTTGTATAGTGCAATAACAAAAAATATATCTTGCGAAATTCACGCGAAACACATAGTTCTAGCGTTAATGGTGTAGTATTTAAACTATTGCACAACTCGAGCTTGGTTAAGGGAGGCACATATTTAAAAAAGTGAAATCTGTCACTGAAGTTTTCCAGATCTTTGTGAAAAACTTTTTCGGCAGTCATTCCGATCTAAAAATTTCGCCAAAGGCGAAAACGGCCACCCGACTTCGTTGTCTACCCACTAACCGCAACGCTCTGATTTCCAGCTGGATCTTGCCATTTTTCAAATATGGCTACACGAACGACTTACAAGTCAAAGATTTATACAACTGTGCCAAACTCGACGTCTCCGGCTCCCTCGGCGACGAAATGGAACGGTAACACTGTTCATCTTTCCGTCTCAGAGCTAACACGCACTTTCCAGAAACTGGGACTACGAAGTTCAATCCGCCCTCAAGTCCGGCAAAAAACCCAGCCTCTTGCGCACCCTCCGGGTCACTTTCATCAAATCCTACTCGGTCGCTGGAGTCATAATGTGCCTACAATGTTCTCTACTCAGGATGTATCTGCCCGTGATCCTCGCACAATACATCAGCTATTACGAGATAAACAGCAAAGACCGGTCGACCGGAAGCGGATGGGGCCTTGCTACCGGAGTAATTCTATTATCATTCGTGAGCATCCTCATCGTACACCACACTAACTTGTATTGCCAGAGGATAGGAATGCGGAGTCGGATAGCCACTTGTTCCCTGATATACCGAAAAGTAACCCGTACCACAACTACCACAAAGAGATACTACTTTTGTGTTTGTAGCTGTTGAAACTAAGCCGCGGCTCCTTGGGTCAAGTCGCCGTGGGGAAGTTGGTCAACTTGCTGTCGAACGACGTCCAGCGGTTCGACATCGCGTCGGGATTCCTCCACTACATCTGGATCATGCCCATCGAGACGGCGATCGCTTTCGGCGTCATGTACCACAGCGTGGGCTGGGCTGCCGTCGCAGGTATCGGCGGGATCGCCCTCCAAGCGGTGTTTCTTCAAGGCTACCTCTCCCGTCTCCAAGGGATCTACAGGATGAAAATCGCCCAGAAAACCGACAGTCGCGTGCGCCTCATGAACGAAATCACCGCTGGAATTCAAGTGATCAAGATGTACGCCTGGGAGAAACCCTTCGAGAAAGTGGTAGCTTTAGCCCGCAAGTACGAGATCAAAATCGTCGCCAAAACCTCCTACATCCGAGGGTTCTCTCTCGCTCTAATGGTCTTCACGGAACGCGCCGCCGCCTACTTAACCCTCATCACCTACGTCCTCATGGGGAATAAACTCACGGCCGACGTAGTCTTCGCCGTGGCGCAGCTTTTCAACACCGTGCAACTCTACATGTGCATTCTGTACCCCCTCGGCGTGTCCACGTTCGCCGAAGCCAAAACCTCCGTTAAGAGAATCGAAGAGTTCCTGCTCCTCGAAGAAAACAATGCGACCCCCCAGATCACCTCAGTCGCCGAATCCGAAAAGAACGGCACCGTCAAGCTCAACCAAGTCAGCGCGAGTTGGGTTCCCAACCCCATCGTCAGCACCCTCCTGGACCTCAACGTCGACATCAAACCCGGTACTCTCTGCTGCGTCGTGGGTCCCGTAGGTGCCGGGAAGAGCTCCTTCCTCCAACTTCTCCTCAAGGAGTTGCCCCAAAACTCCGGTAAAGTCGACGTCACCGGGAGCATTTCGTACGCATCGCAGGAACCCTGGTTGTTCGTCGCGTCCGTGCGCAACAACATCCTATTTGGTCAACCTTTCGTCAAAAATCGCTACAAAGACGTGGTGCACGTGTGCGCTCTAGAAACCGACTTCGAGCAATTCCCTCACGGCGATAAAAGTTTAGTGGGGGAAAGGGGCGCTTCGTTGAGCGGAGGGCAACGTGCCCGCGTCAACTTAGCCCGGTCTGTTTACAGAGAAGCCGATATTTACCTCTTCGATGATCCCCTGTCCGCCGTGGATGCACACGTCAGCAAACATTTGTTCAACGAGTGTATCGTCAAGTATCTGGAAAACAAAACGCGAATTCTGGTTACCCACCAGCTGCAATTTTTGCGGCAGGCGGATTTGATCATCGTTCTCAATAACGTAAGGGTTTGTTTTTTGTTTGTACGTGTTGTTGATGGACGTTTTAGGGACAAATTGAAAAAATCGGGACGTTTGCTGAATTGTCGGAAAACGAACTGAGCACTCTGAATTTGGAGCAACCCGAAGAACAGAAGGAAGACGAAGTACATCAGAGGGAGCGCCTTATGTCTGTAGTCTCTCTGAATGTACGTATGAAGTCGACTAGCGAAACAATTTTCCATGTTTTTTTTTTTGTAGAGCACCGTGCCCGACGACGACGAAGAAGCAGAAACCCAAGAGACGCAGGAGTTGATGGAGAAGGGCGCGATTCCTACGACCACCTACTGGCAGTACTACCGAGCGGGTGGTACCATCGCCGTTCTTCTATTCCTCATCCTACTTCTCGTTATAGCGCAAGCCAGTTGCAACGCGTCAGACCTTTGGCTCACTTACTGGACAAACATGGAACAACTCCGGACGAGCTCGTCCGAAACTACTAACGGGAACGACAGTTCCACAAACCAACTAAATATATCCGAAGCTGACGCTATCACCCCAACGACGACCTTGGCAGTGAACCTAACCACTGACCCATCCAACGTCACCTTTGACGTCCGGTCTTCTCCTTTCCCCTTTAACATAACAAGTGACACCCGATCCGAAGATATGATGTCTCAATCCACGTACATCATCATCTACTCGATTCTCATCCTATTATCGATCATTCTGACCACCGCTCGGTCTTTCCTCTTCTTCAGAATCTGTATGAACGCATCGAAGCGTCTCCACAACCTCATGTTCAGTAACGTGCTTCAGGCCACGATGCGTTTCTTCGACACGAATCCGTCGGGCAGGATTTTGAATAGGTTCTCGAAGGATATGGGTGCTATGGATGAACTGCTGCCGCGGGCGATGATCGAGGCCATTCAGATTTTCCTGGTGATGGCTGGAATTTTGACCATGGTGTTTATAGTGACTCCTTGGATGGTTGCCGTAGCGATCGTCCTAGGACTCCTATTTTACTGGTTCCGGGTGATTTATTTAGCGTCGGCTCAGGATGTCAAACGCCTGGAAGGAATAAGTACGGCAATTTTCCTCTACCGGTCCGTACTGACGTTTATTTTTAGCTCGGGCACCAGTTTTCTCACACGTCTCTGCTTCCTTGTACGGTTTACCGACGATCCGCTCGGCGAACGCCCAAAATATGATAATCAAAGAGTTTGACGCCTTGCAAGATCAACACACTAGCAGTTGGTTCCTTTTCATCGCTTCCAGTGAATCGTTCGGATTATACTTGGACGTCATCAGTACTATTTTCTTGACCATTGTCACTTACCAGTTCCTTATTTTTGACGATGGTAGGTTATTGGCACCTGTTTTTTTTTAAACTAGAGATTGGTTGCAGGTACTACCCGAAGCGGAAACGTGGGTTTGGTCATCTCTCAGAGTCTTATTCTTACGGGGATGCTGCAATACGGAGTCCGTCAAACCACGGAAGTCGCCAGTAATATGACTAGCGTCGAACGCATCTTACAATACACAAAACTAGACAAAGAAGGACCATTCGAATCGCTTCCCACGAAAAAGCCGAGTCGCGATTGGCCGCAACATGGCCGCGTCGTCTTCAAAGATATCTATCTACGCTACATCCCGGACGATCCTCCGGTTTTGAAAAATTTGAACATCGAGATCCGGCCAGCGGAAAAGGTACTTTAGTAATTAGTTCTACTGTTCTAGTCATGTTAGTAACGCCTCGACTATTTACCATTAGGTGGGAATCGTGGGCCGTACCGGCGCCGGCAAATCCTCCCTCATCTCCGCCCTCTTCCGCCTGACAAAAATCGAAGGCGCCATCGAGATCGACAACGTAAACACCCAGTTCATCGGCTTGCACGATTTGCGATCCCACATTTCCATCATCCCTCAAGAGCCAGTATTATTTTCTAATACAGTACGTTACAACTTGGATCCGTTCGAGAAGTGCGACGACAGGACGTTGTGGGAAGCCCTCGAAAACGTGAGATTGTCGTATTCGGGACGCACGATCTAAAGTTTGTGTTTTAGGTCGAATTAAAGGATGCCATTGAAAGCCTAAACCAAAGAGTTAATGAAGGAGGGTCTAATTTTAGTGCCGGCCAACGCCAACTCGTCTGTTTGGCTAGGGCCATAGTTAGGAATAATAAACTACTGGTGCTGGACGAAGCTACTGCCAACGTAGATCCGTCAACTGATGCCTTAATCCAAGCTACTATACGTAAGAACTTCAAAGACTGCACGGTTTTGACTATAGCTCATAGGTTGAATACCATAATGGATTCGGACAAGGTTCTGGTGATGGACGCGGGTCAAGCGGTGGAGTTTGGACATCCGCACGAATTATTACAGAATAAGGAAGGTTACTTTAATAAAATGTTAAAAGAAGTGGGGCCTACGTTAGAACAACAGCTACGACAAGTAGCGAAAGATGATTTTGAGAAAAAACGAACAAGTGAGAGCGAACAAGGTGATAAATAGGTATTTTCTTACGTACCAATATACTTACAAACAATAACGAGCTTCAGCTTGACTTAAAGTATTTACTTAACATATACTTAACTGTCTACTTAAATTTCAGATTTATTTATTTTTGATCACTGTTTTGTTTAAATAAATTTTATATCAAACGCAAGTCGCCTTTTTTAATCAAGTCGGACACCCCCTTGTACGAAATGAGCATTTGAGAACCTGCTTTAATGTCTACAATTTCGTTGTCGTCCCCTTGGCCCCGATCCACGACCACACCTTCCACGTTGCTTTTGGCTTTTAAGAACACGAAGCTGTTCATGTTTGGCCGGACGAAGTTACTCTTCCAATCTTCGAACGGCAAGCCGGGGTAGAACATGGTGGCGTTGTCAAAATGCTCCTCTAAAGCTGCAATCAATTTCTGTGCACTTGTTTTTCGTGTTAAAAATACTACCTTCTTTATATTTAAGCGCAAATTGCTGCTCGGCCTCTGATAAGTACGCCTCTTCCCTCTCCTCGTCCTCTTTAAGTACATGCAACACGTACGTTTCGATTTTTTCGAGTCGGTGTCGGAGGTAGCTAGTAACTACAAATCTAATTCTGTCGATTTCCAACTGGTAGAACCCTTTTTTAAAGTCGGCGCTTGGTAAAGTTTCGACGTTGTCTTCCATAGCAGAGATCTGGGATAAGACGAGGTCTACAATTTCTTGTTCGTGGGGGAGGAGCTCTGGAGCAAATTTTTCGTTTATCCAAATTTCTTCCATTTTTTGTATTAACTCGGCTGGGGTCATTTGAATATTTGCATCGTCGTCATCGTCGATTATATTATTTAGTATATCGTCTGTATCTTCATCCATTTTTGCGCAAAAGTTGCAAATTAAGAGGTTAGAAAAAATTACAAAAGAGTGAGGTTAACGCGCCCAAACAAAACGATGCCATTAGCTATAACTTTCAAAAGTACGAATACTAATTCGTATTAAATTTTAATTAATATTTTAAACAAACTTCAGTTATTCACAGGTACTTATTAAGTGTTTGGTTAGAAACGAGAAACGACCAATTATAATAAGAATCAAGGTTTCGTGACAATTTAAAACAAAAAATCGAATTAATTGAGGTAGCGGCTCAAATATTCGCTACACAAACCGTCTTAGCGACAAATAAATTAAATCTCATTAGAATCTACTTAATAACTCTTCGATAAATACCGCTTCCGTTAGCACGCTATTGCTAAAAAAGATCCGCATTCATTTCGTATTCTTGGCATTGACCCACATCTTCCAGTGGCGTGCTTCTTCCCGCCATCCCCTTGAGGGGGCATCCAAAATGGCGCCAAATTCCCTAACCTTCACATCTAGGCCGCCATTTGTTAACTGTCAACTTTTAATTGCTCTTCTAATGAGCGTGAAACTACAGCACGCTCCCATCAATTATCGTTGCATAAAAAAAAATCCAAACAAATTGTTCCGGTCGATTGTATGTAAATAGTCATGTCTTTAATAAATTTTAAATATACTTTCGCATGGATGTTGCACAATTTTCAAGAAGTGAAGCCAAAAGTACGTCGGCAACGAACGGAAAATCTCATCTCGTTTGTTAATATTCAATTAAATCGGCGAACCGTAACGCTGATGTGCTTTTAAATATTGATGACATTTAACTGTTAGGTAAATTACACGGGTTTCGTCACTTTATGTAAGATGTGCGTACGGATTCTAGGTAAATGTGTCGATATTCGCGCTATGAGGAAGTAGCATGTTTGTAGATTTTCCGCGGAATATGCAGAAATTGTAACGATTTTCTTGGATGATCTATGGCAGTTTCTTAATTTTGTTACAGCACACATCTTCGTGGATTTTTTTTTTTTTATAATGCGTGACGACTTTCACGCTACAGGTGAAGAAGATGAGGCATCTTCATATGTTGTTATTACGTGACAATTAACCATCTGGTCGATGACTTATTTTTATTGCCTCTATTTGTCTATATTCGACTTGTTATCATAACATTCAGTGACGAAAGTGAGTGGTGTTACAATCCCACGCGATGTATTCGAATAAAGTTCAAATGGAAGTAATGCAGGAATTCACTTAGCTAAGTCAACATTGCTATGCGCTCTTTCCTCCATTTTTAGTACCTATTCCGTAACGTCTAAAAAATTACAATCTAGAATAAATATGAATATATAACCCTGAACACCAACACGATGGCAAAATAAAATGAAGAATACGTTTCGCCTATATTTCATAGTTTCAGCAATAAAAACAATCCCTTTCATCTCTCGATTTTGAAACCCAGAGTTCGTAACACCACTTGTCATTGCTATAAAAATCTTAAAATTGATGACCTCGTGCGCCAGTCGATGAACTTTTTTTCTAAACAAGCTCTCACCATTGCTTCACCCTGCCGTCTACAATTACATCCACTGAAACCAATCCACAAATTTCCTAAATAATAATAATAATTAATTTTCTCATGATGGGTACTTTGTGGTACTTTCATAATCGGCATCTACTTTATTATCGATGTTTTGCTAATCGATTCCGTTGCGACACGAATTTTGCGAAATTGGAAACCCCACATTACAGCAGCCGGAGTCCGAACCGAACCGAACGAGTCTGGGAAGATTCTCGATTGTCAGAAAGACCGTCATGACCGGGTTGCGAAATTTTCCGAATTTGAATTTCGTCACCTTTGTGCAGATATTTAAAAAGTTAGTGTGTCTTCGTCTCAAAACAAACATAATTCACTGGAGAAAGAGAAAGAAAGTTATCAACAATAGTAGGGGAGATCTTCTTCTTAGGGGGAGTCGTCTAAAAGAAACGTAGATTGATGGTCGAAGACCAGTCTCGTAGTGGCTTCTTCGGTGGGTGATTGTGCCGGTAGACGGCGGTGTGAAGATGAAGAACTTTTACACATGTTATGTTCTCCTGGTGCTGAGTGCAAGAACGGCGGTTGCGCAGTTTATTGGACAACAAAGCGTAAGTACCACCGGAAGGATTACAAGTACCATTCAAACGCGGCGGGTCGAAATTTCAATGTTTTCGATTGTCGTTATTCTAGTCTCTGGGAACGAACGAACGTGTTCCTATTAAAATTCGAAAATAAATTTCCATATCATTAGTAATAACAATAGGGCTGCTGAAAGTACCGATTGTTGGCGAACTAGATCGATAAGTAAAAATTTGAATAAAAGTTTGAAAATTCAGCCCACTTTCTCTAATAGATAAATCGTGACTTTTGCATTAAGTGCACATATCCCCTGAAGAGCCGCGATTTAATTATCAGTTAATGAAAGCCACTCAACGAAAGCGACAATAGCCTCCTTAAGAGTTTCTCCCGTTTATTGGAAAATTGTGTAACCGAATTTTCCATTTCCAGCTTTCTCCCTTTTTCTCGACTTTCCTTCCTTAACTTTTAAGTAAAAACATAGAAATCGTAATGGAAGAAAAATGTCGCCCAAAGTCCGACCTTTAGAGAAAGTCGTCGAATCTCTAGGTCAAGAGCACCAAACATTCTGGAGCTGACCTTAACACGATCAGGAGGTAATCGATAACACCTTTCTTTAACTTTCGCCTGATATGATTAGCATTTTTCGAGATCTCCTCTATAATTATTTAAATCGTGGAGATGACAACGAAAGTGAATAACCCATTCAAAGGCTTTGTTCACATACGAAACGTACGAAGCGTGTAATTGCCCAGTCCCAGCGAATTCTAATTGGCCTCATGAAATAAAGATACGTGCTTTTGAGGCAATTATGTCATGATTGAGTAACCTGAGGAGCATGTCTTCGGTCCGAATATGTGAAAATCCCGAGCTACTGATCTACTATTTAATTGTTGCAAAACATAAACATAAATCATTTCTTCGGGTTGCAAAAAGATTAATAACGGGAAACATGAGAAGGAAAACGACGAGCTGGTTATGCAAGCTTTGAAACAGAACAGTTTGAATAAAGGTAATTAGAGTCGTCTTTGTACGACGATGTGCTTGCTTATGTAACGCGTCTTTCTGGACCAAGCGGTCACTCCTTTTACGTAACCCCTCTAGCATTTGGAATTTTTATACATCCATCGTCGACGCTCACTTCTCATAAGCTCCACAGACGCTACCAGACTTTCACTAGCCGCGGGCGTTTTACGCCGATCGCTAGTTATCTGGACGAAAAAATAAATTTATTAATGAACTACTTATTTGCCTCCATTCAATGAGATGATCCGTATTTTGGCGGAAAACTTTCTATTAATCCAACATCCGGCTGCACGTCCGTCGATTTTCCCATGAAGTAACCATAGGTATCACTCGCCGACTCCTTCTCGCAGGAAGCGTTGACGTAACATAATTGCACAATTAGATCCGTTATAGCCAAAATCGACCCTTCTTAACACTTTCACAATTTTTTTTTTCCATACACCACGATCAAAAGAACTGCCAAATTCAGTTTCTCAATTCCACCTTTAAACTTTTCGATTAGAACGTACTCACCTTTTACTAGTTACATAATTTGTCACCGATTGTTATTATCTTTTCAGCAGTTCCCAAGCCTCGATCAACGAAACCAATTATCGCCTCAGCAACAAGGTCACATCTTGAGCGATATTCAACAGCACCAGCACAGATTTAACGTGTTTCCGCAGACCCAACATTTTCCGCCTCAACAGTTCGGGGTACAGCCTCCCGTTTTTAACAATCCGCCGGTTTTCGCCCAGCCGACCCAGTTCCCGGTTCTGTTGAACCAGAACCCGATCTTGTCGAACCAGCCGTTGGTCCAGGTGATACCCACTCCGAGCGTGCAGCCCGTCGTTTCCACGGTACAGACAGTGGTCGCACCGACGGCGCAACCGGAGGTGAATACCAGGCTAGTCCAGCACCACACTCAGACGAGTTTCACGCCGGGCTTTGCTCCACAGACCCAACAACAACACAACGTGCCTCAACAAAACAACGCTTTCACCCCTAGACCCACGGTCGACCCCATTGTGGCCATCGAGCACCAGATTCGTCAACTGGATCCCGAGAAGCACAAGCAGAGGATAAAAGAGCTGAGGGAGAAGCAGCAGATTATCGAGAAGCATAACCAGTTTGTGGAGAAGCAGTACGAGAAGGCGTTGAAGAAGGCGCAAACTGAACATGAACAATGGGTCGAAGAGCAGAAGGAGCAGAAGAAGAAGTTGTATCAAAGGGTGTACAAAGGGCCAGGGAATGCTCAAGTTATAAGGTACACTCAGTCGATTCCGAGGTACATTTATCCGGAAGAAGCTCCTCTCTTCAAGCTGGCTTTGGACGAGTACTATAAGGAGCATCCTACGACTACTACTACGACGACGACGACGACGACGACAACGACGAAACCTCCAACAACAGAGAAGAGTAAAAAGTCGGGGAATACGTTCCTGCCGACTGTCGTTCCGACTAGTGAAACTAAAGTCAAGACGATACAGACTCTAGAGGATTTGAATCTGCTCCAGAGACAGTACAAGTCGCAACAGATTGCAAAAGACGATCTCTTGGCACAACTACGGCTTGCCATCGGTAACAGTCCTGAGGATGACGTTGCGAAAAACTTATCCTCGCGTGAAATATCACTAGCTAATGGGAAAAAAGTCCAACTGATCGAAACCAGCGACCCTAAATTAATCCCGAATGGAAAAACGGAAGAAATCACCTTACCCAACGGCGAAAAAGTTCAAGTCTTTAGAGCGAACAACCCACCTACGAAACCTGAAGAAATCACTCTACCCAATGGCCAGAAAGTTCAAGTAATCAAAACCACAGATCCTAAATTAGTCGCGAGCGCTTCTTCTTCATCCACAGTCAAAACCCAAGAAATCACCTTACCCAACGGAGAAAGAGTCGAGGTTATTCGAACCACAGACCCTAAACTAGTACCAGGAGCAACTCCTCTTGAACCCGGAAGCGACCTCGAGAAGCTCGTTTTTGCTCAAACCACTACAGTCAAACCTCCAGCAGCAGTCTTTGACGAATTCACCAAAGGTGTGCTACCACCAGGCGCCAACTTTGAACTGCTGAAAACTGGGGCTAGCGGAAACTTGGAACAGATCGGAGGCATCCCCAACCAAAAGAAGGTGACTTTCGTGCTCTTGGAAGAACAAGACGACGGTACTCTAAAAGTGCAAGGAATCAAAGGCAACGGCAAGGAGAAACCAGAAGTGGACGTCGACTCGATCCTCAAGAAAATCCAAAAGGGGGAGATCAAACTCCCGTCTCACTTGAAACCAACGCCGACAGCCGAAACCAAAATCGAAACCACCACGACCCCAAAGAAAGAACTCGTCCCAGGTATCACGGTGGTACCGAACTCCTTCGCGAGCGTCGACGACGCATCTAGCGTACCGATTTTGAGAACCAACATCGGGACGCACTTTGTGGCCACGTCTACGCCGTCGAGCACGATCTACACGAAAATCTTCCCTAGTAGTACCGTACGGAGTACCACTACGGCGACTCCCTTCACCACGACGGCTCGTAAAATCACACGACAACCCCATATTCTAAACCAAGGAAATGATTTGGTGCGACAGGCCTCTACTACGAATTCCGGGACTCAGAACACCATCTTCAATTATCAGTCGACGATCAAACACCCCAAACCCACCGCCCCGACGCTGCCGTCGTCCTCGGTTACCATCTTCCAGAGTATATCTCCCACGATCCCCACGACGCCTTACTTCGTCGAACCCACCCCAGACAAACCCCATCAAGAGCTGCCGGAAGTACTGAAAAAGAACGGTATGTTCGCAATGGCGAAGTTCTTGCGGCAGTCGGGTCTCGATACGATTTTGAACGAAACCGGCCCTTACACCGTCTTCGTTCCGACGGATAAAGCCTTCAGGACGCTTCTCGTCCAGCTGGGAGGGCCCGAACGGGCCGAAGAGAAGTTCAAGGAGAACCCGCGGCTCCTCAGCGGGGTAATTTTTCGCTCGTTCGCTAATTGAACGAACTAATCGATCGATTCTAGTTGCTGCTTCACCACGTCATACCTGGAGCTTTTACCATCGGTTCTCTCCAAGATGAAATGACCGGAGTGTCGTTGGCCGGCACCCAATTAAGAGTGAACCAATACAACATGCACGACGTAGAATGGAACGACGTTAAGGTGAGTTAAATTTAATATCAATTAAAAAGATACATTCACCGCGCTCTAGTTGGCCCACATAATATGCTCGTTTTCGAGTTCAAGTTCATGATTGTTTTAATTAATTTTGATTTCTAATTGGGGTAATTGGGTAAGTTGTCGCCTAATCACTGTTTGTTTGCAGATTACGACAATTAACGGTGCCAAGGTTCTGGATGAGAAGAAAGACATCGAGATACCTCAAGGTATAGCACACTCTGTCGACAGGGTAATGTTCCCGTTACCCGTAGGCGACATTGTGCAAACTCTCCAGTCGGACAGAGAGAGGAGATTCACGAGTTTCCTGAGGGCGCTGTTCTCTTCCGGACTTGCCGAAACGTTACAAGGTAAATACTTCTTGTGGTTACGTACAATGGTGATTGTCATGCGATGCTTTATACTCTAATTATAAGGCGATTAGAAGCAGCCGCTTTCTTCGCCTGTCAAAATTTACGGTTTCTTCACTAGTATAACCTTATAGGGAACCTCGTTATCGGAGGAAAGCAGAGTCTGATCGATGATCGAGGCTAGTGCTCCTGGCACGCACTCGATGGACCCCAACACACGCAACGCAAAAAGTTGCATTATTTTTTTTTAAACAATAGTCACGATCCCATTTCTCAATACTTACGTGGTCACAATTAAATCTCGCAACTGGTGAAGAAACCACCATTAACCGGCAATCTCTTCTTCCAGGCACGAAAACCTTCACGTTGTTCGCGCCGACGGACAAAGCTTTCGCCGCCTTATCAAGCGAGGAGCTTTCCAGGACCATCTCCGACAGGACTCTAGCCAGGGAGCTGATCTTCAGGCACCTCACGCCCGGTACTCTGTACACCAACGGCATGAGGTACTACCAGATCAAAGACAGTCTGCTCGAAGACAAGCAGCTCACGATCAGCAAGCAATCAGGTGAGGAAAAAAACTGTAACGATACGTGATATTGGGTCGAAAATGAAAGGCTAAATTTTTTCCGAAACAATCGGTGAAAGGTTATCATCTCGAGCTAACCCACTTGCGACAGTGCGACAAGGAAGAATGCGGAAAATTCGGCATCTTAATCGAATTGTTCATGGCGATCGACGCTGCGACAATAACCGTATGAAAGTTTTCGAGAAAGTTGGCTAAAGTTCAAAGTCAACAATTTCAGATGAGGATGATGTGCGACGGAAGAAAGTGAAACGACGCCTCCGGATAGACGTCATGTGTGTCGAGGAAGCCGCTTATGATGAATTCGGGAAAATGGACTTTCACGTTATTAAGTCGGAAGGTCGAGTTTTATTGGTTTTTGTTTTCGTTCGGGTGGCGATAATTGGATTATGGATGGCCATTTTTAAAAGTGAAAGCGCTTCTCATTACTAAGGGCGGAGAGAAATGACAATTCTTATGCTAATAATTGGGTCGTACCTCTCGATATTATAATATTGTTATGAATAGGGGAATTTCCTTGCATTGTAGGAGATTCGCGCGAACACTTTCCTCGGAGAATTACGGAATCGGTATAAAAGTGGGTCATAGGCAAATCAAAACCGGCATCCGGTTAAGAAGATAATAAATCTTGTGGATTTTGGACGCCACGAACAATTATACCACGCTGAGAGTGTTTTACGCTAGAGTGGTAACATGAACAATCAAAGCATTATTGTATCTCGAATACAATAGATTAGTTCTCGAGGTACTACCTCATCAAAACTGATGAAAACATCTCGGTACAAATGATCATAGATCTTGTCGACGTTTTCTCAAAGGCGTGTCAATGTTGATTCAAGAACCGAAACATTCAGCGCGTATTAAGCTCTTTCACTACTTCAGGCTATTTGTATTGTGCTGCTTTTGAAGTCAGTTTAGGTTGTTTAAAATTGACGAACTTCCTGACGACAAAGTATATTTCGTTACTTTAATACAGAATTCACAACCAATATGGCAGCCCGAATTATTACGTCATCAAACATGGCCGCCCAAATTTAGTGTAACCACAAATCTAATAGCAACAATGAACGTCGACTATGCCAATAAGTTATAACAATATCTGCACCTACCTGGAACATGACGCAGCGCAACCAAGATTCAAACGAGACATTGAGGTTAGGTTCGCCCATTCCAATGTTACGCCACTGGGCTCACAAACCCGTCTCGGTTAACATTACTCTCACTTTTTCCGCACACTGAACGCGCGAAAACCGCACCGTTTAATTTTTTCCCTTCCAAATGCGAAAAAACAGCCCTCGTAACAACTTCCAATTTAAAAAAAAATTAACGACTATCGCGCTTCAACACGAAAACGACGAAACAAATCGGCTTTCGACACGGAAAACTCGAACACACGGTATTTATTCCCATTCCGGTCTATATTTTCTCTTAAATTATATGGAAAAAATTTTCAGCGCGGTTTCGAGAATTTGATTTTGAAGGACTCTGCATTACCGACATGGCGGGTTTTTGAAAATTTTGGTTGTTGAGTGTTGTTTTACGTAAAGTCTTTTGACTCTGAAAATTCGAACACACACTCAATTTAATTTTGTTTCAGGTAAAGTGAAGGTGAATAATGTTCCATTGGCGACCCAGAACATTCCGGCCACCAACGGAGTGATCCACGCGCTGGACGCCCTTCTTTAAATAGTTAAGTTATTAAGTATTTATTTCACAGTCATTTATCGTTCACATGCGCCATCATCTTTGTTTTGTTTTTTGTGTATTATATCGTTAAAAATAAGGCTGAACACTGTCAAAACGCCACTTAAATTATGATTACTGAGGAATCCTTAACCTGTAGCCTAGGTATTTTAAATAAATAATTTAAAAGGTACCAGTGTCGTTAATTTACTTACTCTTACAACGTGCAAATAAAACAATAAAATATACAACAAATTCCCTAACAATCACAATTCAATTTAATCCAATTCGCTTAAGTATCAAATCGCCTAATAATTAGTCTTATATTTCTTCATCTCCACCATGATCAGATGGATGTTAGTAAGCTGAGTCCTCACGTTCGGCGTCAACAACTTATGAAACCTATGATAATATTGCACTAACTGCGTCAACGCCAACTGGAGCAAACTCGAGCCCGTTACGAGATTCGGGAACGACAAAAGCACCTCCCTGTTCAGCTCCTCCAACGACTTCTTCCAATTCGCTGAGAAGATCTGGACGATGTTCAACGACTTCGCCTCGAGCTTCTTCACGTCCTCGCCCTTTCCTTTCTCTATCAGATACTCGCACTCCTTCACGTACTGCATGAGTTCGCCGAAGTGCGGACTAAGGATCTCCTCCACGTATTCGCCGCTCTTGGACGATAAGCGACTCTTGAAGGTCTCGGCTTCCTTACAATTGTCGCGGGTGCGCTCCATGATTATGTGCAAAATCATGTCATAGTTATTAATTAGGAAGATTAGTTGTTCTTTGCGCTGGGGGAAAATCCCGGCCATTCGGAGAATGAAGAGTTCGACCTCCTCCTGGAGTTCGGCGAGGAGGCAGTTCACCAGCTCGTTGGGGAAGTTCTCGCTTATGCCGACTAAGGCGGCGCTGAATTCGGCGTAGCGACGAGTGATCTAAACATTTTGAAAATTAATTTTAAGTGTCGCATGTCGCGTGAGCACAGCATTAATCAAGTGATCATGACTACACTTACATAATGGGGTCCCATCTCCAGGTTGAACTTACTCGGGTCGCAATCCCTAATACTGGCGATATTCAACCGAAAAACGAACTCAAACCTCGCCAAAATAATCCTCTCCAAATTATCCCAATAGTCGTCCAACGCTGGAACGCAGCGCTTATGACACATGATTTTGTAACGCAGAATCAAGTGAAAACACAGAAATAGAGCAATGGTGTCGTAACAATCAGCCACAAACGACTCCAAGTTTTTCTGATAAAAAAAAACTATTAAATCATAATCGCAAAAACTAACCAAAATACCTTCAACAGTCCAGTGGTTTTGCCCATTATTTGATTAAATAAGTCGAGCGCTGGTTGCCCTCTCACCATGAAAAACTCGCTTACAAACAAATACTCTCGACAGGCGTTGTCCACCAAAGCGTACTGTTCGCTTCTAAAGAGAGCTTCAAATGCATACTAGACAGAAAAATTATTCAAAAAAAAAAAAAAAGTAAATCAATTTTACCCTATTTTTCGATTGTGCGTGGGGCACAATAATGGGGGCTTCCAGTTGCTGCGCCAGCACGTCCCCACGATTTCCAATTGTAAAAACTGTCCCCTTATGTTTCAAATTTTTATTAAACAATCCCCTATTTGCTGTATCCTCGATCCCCATGAGGTCATCCTTCGTAGTGCACTCTTCATACTGCAACTTCATGATGCGTCCCGAGTACGACTTAAAATACGAAAAATAAATCTTGCTCATCGTATCTACGTATTCGTTGCAAATTTCCTGCGCCACGTTCCGCTCGTTCGATAAAATAAACTCAAAGAAAAATTTATACTTCAACATGTTGTTCTGCGGCACTTGATAATTCGTCATTGGTTTCCTAAATTTATACACCTGCTCTAACAAATACGTCCTAATTTTACTCATAGCTTTGATTTTGAGTTTTTCCAAAATATCTTTAACGTCCAGACACGACTTCGACTCTTTGAAACTTTGCTCCTTAACAAAGCTGATTTTGTGGTTCAAGACTTGCAACTGCGTTAGAAACTCTTTATCAGTGACTGGGTTATCCATAATTCCCACAATAAGTGACTCTGGAACGGCCATGTCATCGATAAATTGGCTCAACTGGCCCCTTATTGCTTGCCGGTTGCTCAGTTCCTGGCTCATGGATATCGATTTTCTTTGCAGGGATAAGATCTCGCTACTTATACTTCCTAAGTCTGTTTGGAACCCCACTAACATGGACTCCATACGTTCCAAAATCTCATCACAAGCTGAAATCTGGTTGTGCAAGCTTGCAATGTTAGCGCTTTCTTTAATGTAGTCCTGAATTGACTTGTTTTCGGTTTCTTTCAGTTCTTTTTCAATTTCTTTTGAGTATTGTCGAAGGTCTGTGAACGAGTTGAGGATGTCTTGCACCACCACATCATCTAAAGCGTTGTTTATGCCCCCGGAAGGGGGCTCGGATAATTTATTGTTCATTTTAGGGTCTATATTATTTTAAATTATTTTCACAATCTTGACATGTTTTGCCAGATTTTCTTGACAGGTGGACAAGGAGTGACAGGTGTCAAAGGGCCATTAACACGATTGACACTAGAAGCAAGAATGCCAATTTCTCACTAGTTAAATTGGTTGACACAAATTAAGACAATTTATCATTTTTAAGTCAAAATTAACATAAATAATACTGCAAGTGTTTCATTTTCATGAATTATTACTAAGTTTTACATGATTAAAGAGCATTTTTTGTGAAATAAAAAGTTCGGTTGGGGATATTCAATGTGCTGAGATTGGTCACTTGGGAGCACGTTTTTTTTTCGGCTTGTTAAGTTGGCATTCAGTCTTTTTGTTTGTGCAGTGGTAGCAAAATGGTGAGTTCAACTTTTTCTGCAATAATCTTTATTCATCATCATCATCTATAAAATTTATCGATTTTAAACATTATTCGACATTTCATTATACACTGTTTTAATGTTCTTTTGACCCATTTGTATTTTTTTTGGTCAATCCGTGCACCTAACCTCACTCAGTGTTTACCGTCTTGTAATTTGTATTCGTCACTTCTCTCAATGGTAAACACTACCTGCTTCCGCATTATGCAGTTTTTCAGTAGTTATTTGTAATGTTTATGTAATTTTTAGCTTAATTAGTTTTTTGTTCCAGTCTCTCGTAATCCCCGAGAAGTTCCAGCACATTCTTCGTATCTTAGGTACGAACATCGATGGCAAACGCAAAGTCATGTTTGCCCTTACAGCCATCAAGGGCGTAGGCCGGCGGTACTCCAACATAGTCCTCAAAAAAGCCGACGTCGACTTGGACAAGCGCGCCGGCGAGTGCTCTGAAGAAGAGGTCGAAAAAATCGTCACCATCATGTCCAATCCTCGCCAATACAAAATCCCCGACTGGTTCTTGAACAGGCAAAAGGACATAATTGACGGAAAATACAACCAGGTATGTAGTTTGACTTTTCCAAGCACAGAGAAACGGCAGTGGGTCGAACACAAATCGCCACTCGCTGGTAGCATGTGCGACATAAAAGCATTCAAAATTGCGTTGCTGGAAGGGCTCAGATTTGTGAACCAGTCACTGCTGGAGTGAAAACTGGGAAGCACTTCTGAGGAGTCGGGCAATTTTTTGAGAATGCGACATGTGTTGGGTTAAGAACGGCGTGTAATTGTGTGAATTGCAGCTGACTTCGGCCACGTTAGACTCAAAGTTGCGTGAAGATTTAGAACGCATGAAGAAAATTAGGGCCCACAGGGGTATGCGCCACTACTGGGGTCTGAGAGTGCGCGGTCAACACACCAAGACCACCGGACGTCGCGGACGCACCGTGGGTGTCTCCAAGAAGAAGTAATTTAATTAATTTAAGAAAATAAATTGATGGTTTTCATATGAGCGCTTTTGAGTAACCTTTCCGCTCCCAGATTTAGTAAAGGTCTTTGAAGAACACCAGAACTTTAGTTTTTCTTTGTACATCTTTATTTGCATTAACGATTAACAATTTTTTTTTTACAACTAGAGAGTAAAGTTAAACTGGCTAAACTCTCGACACACTTTAAAGCTTATAGATACATGCTGATATTGTGTAATTGCGCCGTTTCGGTCAATTGACTGCATTATTGCGTACAGAAATTCACAAAGAATGGCAAGATGAAATAAACTTTGTACAAATCAACAAAACGTGAACACAACAATATTGTCATCAATGCCGTTCGAGTGAGTGAGGAATGATTACAACGATGTGGGATCACAATAAATACATGGAATACCGGAAGACTAATTCGTTAAGAAATGAATTCGAGAAAGGCTCGAGGGACTTTGCCCTTCTGGTGGCCGCGTTCACCGTAGAGGTAGTCTTCGTTGGGCTTGTCGCCCAACTCCTTAACCATTATAATCTAAAAAAAAACATGTATTATGTCTGGCTAACTGTGCGACGTACCTCGTTCGCCATGAGGCTCATTTCGGTGGTATCTTGAGCATCATAATCGTAAATGACTCGGGCTTTCCTCATTTCGTTGTTCCATTCGTTTTTGGGATTTATGGGGGAGTTGGGATCGACACCAGGCATCGAGGACATACTGCAGATTTAAACACAAAAAATAAAGAAAAAAGAAAAAATGTGCGTGCAGAAGCGTTAGCGCATTCCTAGTGCTATCAGCTGAGTTAATTTAACTGTAAAAATTGGTGTTCTTGGACTATGGACTTATCTCACTACAACTAGCAAAGCCTAAAGGACCGAGTATTCGGAATCGTCAGAGGTTATAATAACTGGGGCAAACGTGGCTGGAGAGGACACTCGAGTGTTATTAGGTACCGCTGGTTCAAGATCTTCACTGTTAAGTCTCAAAATAGGGCCAGGTTTCACGGAGCTGAAACATCAACATGCTCAAGCATAGACAAAGTTACCTTCTAGCCTCAAGACTACCACAAGTTAGTACAGGATTAGAGGAACGTACGCACACAAACAAACAAAAACAACTACCTTGCGAGCTCCCGCTGTAGATCCGTCATGATGGTGGTGCACTGAGAGTAGAACCGGGCTTGGGTCTCGACAAATTCCAGCAAACAACGTTGATGGGCAGCGTGCGAGCTTCCGATTCCCTCCAACAAGAGCTTAGTGATTTCGGCTTGTCGGTCGAACTCGGATTGCGCTATACGCAGGTCCCGCTCCGCCTATAGACAACACTTGCGTAAAACACGACACAACCAACACAACAAACGAAGAAAGAACAGAGATTACCTGCTCTAAAACCTCTTCAGGGGGAATCCCGTCCTTCTGCGGGCGAGCATGAAAGTATTATTTTAAAAAAACACAACACATAGTACCGTACCTTATCAACTCTAGACATGTGTAAACACAACAAATACGTGTAAAAATTGAAAAATAGAAAGAGTAAATAGAGAGAAAAGTACCTGCGTCATAGGTAAAGCAAAATGCTATTGTCAAAACAAACGAATTAGTGTTGTGTGTGTTTCTCATATTCGACTCAACTTACTGTCGGCTGTCCCAACATACTTCGAGCCTTCCGCACCCGATTCTTGCAGGCGTCCAAATCCAACCTGGAATCAATCATGAATTCACGTTTTTGCTCATCTCTCAGTCACCTTTTCGTCTCCAGGAGATTCTTCTCTTTAAGAATGGTCTTCATCTCCGTGTCGAGGAATTTGCGCAACGGCTGCGTGAAGCACATCGCCGCCGACCCAATAAAATCCCTCTCGTTCTGCCCCAGCTTCTGCTCCCACTGCCCCACTTTGATCAAGGAGCTCCCGTACGCCGTCCCCGGCCCAAACATATTCCCAGCTTCGATCATATCCAGCCCCAAGTACTCCAAATTGCTCAGCCGCGACGGTCTCTTCTTGTCGATCTTCTCGTAAATGAAATCCTCGATCCTGTTGCCGGGGTTCGGAATGAGGACAGCCTCCGTGTTCCGCACGAGTTTCTCCGTCCAGTTCCTGGTATTGTCGGCTCTATCCCACAGGTTCTCGAAATGTGCATCGAGCTCGGTTTTTTCGGAAGTGCCGAGTTTTTCTTCAGTCATCTGGAAATCGGGGCTCACATAACCTAGCGAGTGCGAATAGGGCTTACCTGGACGACGCGACTGATGGCAGCCCCCGCATCCTTGACGATTTTTTTCACATTAAAGTCCATCGTGGGGTCGTCTGTGGTGTGAATAGAGCGATATTCGATGTTGTTACTGCATTATATTGATTTTTGTGGTGACAGCTGGACGAGGGGAAATGTCATTCAGAGGGGTTAAAAAATGGGGTGATAAAGGCGGAAGAGGATGAGACGATTTTATCGCTTTCGGGAATTCTGGCGGAAATGAGTGATTAGAGTCGCGGAGATTGTTGTGATAGCCCCCGAGACACTTCGGTTGGCAACACTGAATTCCCTAACTAAACAACTAAACACTAAACGCCAGAATTTGTTTTAATCGACACTGCTCTACTTCAATTTTAAAACAATGTTATAAAAAAAAATACCGTTGTTTGTATAAAAATGTACGATTCGTTACGAAGCTTGAAATTTATTTTGGAAATTTGCTCATTTTTTTTTTATTGTTGGCACTCCTCAAGTCCCCAACTTTTCAAACCGACCCGCGGTTGACACCTGTCACCCATCATGTACCACAAAATCATCTGAAATGGGCAGAAATCGACCCTGATGGACAATCCTCACACCCAGAGACACAAAACCGTACCCATACGACGACGCTGTGGCCAATCTTCCGTAAGTTTCTGGCGTTGACAACGGCGCAATATTTCACACCCTTCAGAATTCCACTTCTGCAGATATCGAGGGGACTTTCATCCCTCTGTCGTCTAGCGATTCCGCTTGGAACGGCATAAACTTCGTAAATACGAAATTTACAGACGATGAAGACGAAGACGTAATTAGGATCGTCGACTTACAATGTGATGAGAAACCGCCTCTGCTTCTCTTGTTTCCTGATTTGGAGAAAAAAGACGTGGAGTTGTTAGCTTCCACCACTTCCACGACTCAAGTGGCGCAAATCCTCGTGGGGAAGAAGGCGGACTTTAGCCTCCTTAAGCCTTCGAAGAAGCTGAATCCTGAACAAGTTGGTTTTGGTTTTGATTTTTCGTAAAGTATGATTTATGTTTTGCAGTGTAGGTTGCCGCCGCTTGTGGAGTCGCCGGCTGAACACTGCTCGGACGACGAAGAACTGGGTGAATAAAAAAACCGACGAACCTGTTAATTATTTAATTTGGTAGTAAAATTTACATTCATCTACTGCTTATTTATAAACATACAAACAATAAAACAATGACACAAAAAAGGTCGAAAACTGTACATTGTGCGCTTTTTTATTTGATTTTTGAACGAAACTTTGAATAGTTTACCCTGAACCATTAGAATCGAAAAATCAAATTAAAAACCCACGTGTGTCCACACACCAGTAAGCCCCTACGAGTACCCGCGAGTAATCTGGATTAGTCGCGACTACTCAACCAATGCATGGACAGTTGTATATTGCACTGGAAACAAACCGCCAACCTTCAGCTGGCGGTTCTTACCAACATACATGAATATTCTCTATTTAAAGCACTTTAAGGGGAATTCTCAAGTCACTCCCTTAATTGCAAGCAATTATCCGGAAACGCATATTTGCTTGCAACGGTTTTACGGCTACATTTTAGCTACTCTAGTTTTGCTATTACACCTCGCCTATTCAATAAATCAGTCGACTGGTTATTAAGTACATTGTTACGAATGTTAATTAAATATCAGAGAACGAAATGCGAATGGACTCATCTGCAGCGATTTCACAGACATACATGGTGTTCTCGCATGCTGTCAGAAAATTGGTGAACGGGCGCGAATGGGGTGTTTTTATCAAGCAGCTTGTCCAAGGCTGCCATTTACGAAACGCACTACTACAAACCCAAATCGGCAATCGAAAATGCATGAGTATTGTCACGATAAAAAAATACATAATGGTACGAGAGTTATGGGGGCCAGTCTTCAGGTGCCACTAAACGACGACACTATTCGAATTCGGTCATCCTCGGACGCACGTCTGCACCAAACCCAATAGATACTAATTAAATAATTATCAGGTTAAATTCAAGGAGTAGTGCGCTCAGCGCAGACGGTTGGCTTCACGTTCGCGAATGACTCGATTCCAAGCTATCTCTAATCTAGTATCTATATACAAACACGCTCGCTATTGCACGTCAGACCTATTACAGCTCAAGGATCGACGTTAAAACGTTTATAAAAAACTCGGCTCTGATTGGTCAATTTTGAGCCCACGCTGTTGCAATCGTGTAGCTGTCTTGGCTGCAACGACACGCGGACGGCTTGCTGTTTACAGGCGGTAGCCGTTATATAATGAAACGCAGTGTTGTGCAATTGTCGCCAAGACGAAGCATCGCAATTGAATTTGTATTGTGTATATAGAAAAAATACGCTACAATAATATCAAGACACACTAATATAGGTTCCTGCTATGCTTAAAATATCTTTTTCACTTAATGTCTTTTGTTTTTTGTAACATTTGTGGCTCTTGGAGAGCTATTGTGTAACGATAAAATTAAAATTTAAAAAATTGACGTTTCAAAGGAAGACAAAAAATATGGCGCTCTAGATTAAAGCGAAATAACAATAGAAAATTTAAGAGGTTGTACAGTTTCTTTTTTTTTAAGTCACCTGACACTTGACCGTGACGCTGTTAATTATTTCGTTGTAAAATGTAACATAATTTTAACGTTCTTCCAATATTCTTGATAAACATATATTAGTTCACATATTTGCTCAGATCTCCCTGGAATTATTTTAGTCAAACAAAATTATATACAGGCTGTTTCACCTAAGGCTTACTGTCCCCCCCTACTTTTATTTCGCAAAATAAGCTGCTAAAATTTGACATACACATTATTTAGTAGAGAACACAGCGATTATTTATATCATTAAAACACCGGACGTCAACGACTAAAATACACATTCTTAAAAAATACTAAAAAACGAAAAAAGTTGGTGTTATCTGCCCTTTCGGATAAAACTTCCGACTTATTTCACGAGCCAATAATAAAAAAGGTAATCATAAAAATGTAATATAACCCAACTCGATCGACTTGTCAAGTTATGGCGAATCCCTCTTTTCGCTTGTCGGACTTGAGGTGCCCGAAACGAACTAATTTTTTTTAACGTCGCCACGAAAATCCGTCGTTTGCGGCTGCAGACTGGCCACCCGAGTAAATGCAAGCAAAAACTACACCTAATAATGATCACTTATCCTAAATGGAATCGATAAAATAACAACAAAGTCAACAAGAAGGAAAGCTACCAATACGTCAACTATTTCACTAATAAATGACCTAACTGCCTCTTGTGGTGTTTGTCATGTCTTTGGAGGCGCATCGAAGTCTTATCGAATGAATGAATCAGTCGCTTGTCCTACGTCGTAGGTGAAAACACTATCTCGAATAAACTCATCAATTATCAACAAGAAACCAAGCCTCCCAGACCCTGGGCACAGTATTGCAATAGTAGAAAAGTTACACACTTAGGGTAGATTACAAGCCCCCGACATCAACTACAACATATAGTCACAGGAAAAAACCGACTTGTCACAATTGACAATCTGACTTACAAAAGCTGCTTATAAAAATAACTATTGATTGTTTTTGACACGGCTTCGTTCGCATTACCGTTTTCTGGGCCAGTACTGCTTCAAGCACCTGACCAAGCGGTACGGTAGAGCGAAGCGGAAACCGTCCTCCAGCAGATGTCATTGTGACTTCATACTGACCAGTTTCCTACTCCTGGCTCGAACCTCCTGGCGCGTGTTGGTGTACTCGAACCACAGCACGTTGGGTATGAGGGTGGTGTCCCGCAGCAACAGGATCTCTGAGAGCTTCCAGCTGACGATTTGCGGGAAAACGGGCGTGAACACGAGGTAAGTGACCGCAAACCAGATAGTTGCGAAGAAGACGCCCACGACGGCCCCACACAGGACCTGGGATATCGTGTGGTACTGCAGGTAGATGCGGCTGACGCACACGAGGAGGGCCATCAGTAGCGATGACGAGATTATCAGGATCTTCGACATGTTCTCGATTATAGTGTTGTTGTTCATGTGGTGCAACCTGCAACCGTTCAGTCAATGAAAAAGTGCACGGCACACTGCACACGACTACTTGGTTGCCTATCAAACGCAATTCTTACCGAATGATGACGAAATATATAACGTATGTGGCAAAGAACCACACGAACTGTGCATGCGACGACGGCATTCCGTACTCTTCGTACAAGTCGGACCTTCGTATCGGCCTTTCCTCACAGATCGTGTGCTTGAGGCAGTAGTTCAGCGCCTCTGAACATAGCGTCCCCAGAAAGAACGTTATCGTGTGTAAATCTCTTCGGAATAAAATTAAAGCTATGAAGCCGGCCCCGATCCCAAAGGGAGCTAAACTGATCAACGCCAGGAATTTTCCCAAGAAATCACCTGAAAAAGACGGGGGTGAGTGGTTGTTGGTAAACCGTGAAATGTCAAAATTGACGGCTGGATATTTTCGTTGGGGCTGGGTGTTGATGGGTGTTTTTTACGAAATTATACCTTTGGGGTATTCGACTAGGGTTAGTGAGAGCGGGACCCATTCTGTTCTGTCATTTAACTGCGAACTTTGCGATAAATTGTCGTCGTTGAAATCAAACGTGGCCATTTTGCATTTTATGGCGTTTGACAGATTCTCAAAGACAGATCGAGCTCGAATGACAGGTCGACGGATCACATGACACAGAAGGAGCACCGGGATTGGCAACTAGTGAAGCGGTAGATTTAAACAACCAACAACCTCGCGACAATTTCATTAATTATTTAAAAGTAAAACAGAATTACAAGTCAATGTTGTGAGTAAAATTGTAGAGGCGTAATCAACCACTTTAAATGGCTGAAATTAACTAAAAATTACACGTAGTTCAAACACACAGGTAGTTCAAGTGTCAGACGTCAAGGATGTGGATCGAATTCCGTAATCGGTAGACTAACTATTGTACGGTATCTCTCAGTAAAAAAAAAATAGTCAAATATAGAACATTTTATAACTTATAGGGAACAACATGGACTTCATCTTCGTTCGTGAATTAACATTTTTTGTAAAATTTCTCTCGAGATTTGAGGTTATGTACGAATCTTTCATTTTTTATTGAATATTAGATTAATTGAATCGTTACAAAATTTTAGAAAACTGATATTTGAGGACAAGATTGCTACAATGCGACACAGTACTGCAATAGCCTCTTTTTGGTAGTTCTAGACTTCCTAAGCACCAAAATAAAACTGACAGTATTCTTTGACGTATGTATTTACATCTAACTTGTCGGAGAAGGTCTCCAATCAGACGAAACTTCTGGCAAGCTTAACTCACAAGAGACCCCTCCTCGTTCAGAAGCCCCTTCTCCTCCGGCGTGGGCTTTATGACTTCATCAAAGTGCCGCTTCCCATCAACGTACATCATCGCCTCGTGATACGTCCTCGGATACACCTGCTTCACGAACTCCGGCACCTGGTAGGTGAAATGCAGCACGTTAGTCAACCTGGGGGCCTCCTCGTGCAACTGCCACGTAGTCACGAACACGGTGATCTGCACAAACTCCATGTAGGTGAACACCACAAACGCCCGCATCCTTATCAAAGAATTCACCGAAATGGGCTCTCTGAATTCGATGTCGTTGATGTGCTTCAGCTGAGGGTGGTGCTTGCTGAACCTTGTAGCCAACACCCAACTCAGCTGGGTCGCTTGCCTCATGATGAAGCCCCCGAAGACGGTATTGTGGAGATTGCGGTGATCCGGCTGCGAGAAAATGGTGTTGCCTATCTGAAGCTGCTCCATCCAGACGCCGCCGGATGGCGGCGTCGCGCTGGTATGGATGACGCGCTTGTAAGCCTCTGTTTTGAGGTAGAGGTCGTGGATGAGCTTTTGTTCGTCGTCGTTGGGGCGGGTCTTGGAGATGTGCAACTGTTGTTGGTGCTGCCTCAGACGCTGTCTCTTCCCGGCTGCTTCTATGATGTTTTTTTCGATATCGTCTTTGGGTTTGACGGGGTTGACCACGGCAGCTTTTTGGTTGGTGGGGTCTCTGGAGGCTATGAGGAAGACGGCTCGGGTGATCCTGTTCCAGGAACCTTGCCACTTCTGACCCATCCACACCGTGATCTCCATAGTGCTGCGGCCGACGCGGTCCACGTGGCCAGAAATCTTCACGTCTTCTTTGACCTGGGGAACGAACGGCGTGAAGTCGATTTTGTCGATTCTGGCGGTGACGAGGGTCTGGGGGAGGGGGACGTGAGGAGGAAGTTTGGGGTTGAGGATGTGTTTCTGGGCTATTATGACCGCGAAGTAGTCCATATCCTCGAGAAGTCTTCCGATGCGTAAGCTACCTAGGAATGTGGTGTATTTCTCTTGCAGTTTGAGGTCCTTGGACAGGGGGATGTAGCCCTCGACGTAGCTGTCGCGTAAAGATCGGGGGGGTAAGTCGTTTTGCTCACGGGGGACGTACTGGAGGAGGTGCTTACGGCTGGGAGGGATGGAGGAATAGCCGCTCTCTCTGCCCATTGTTTTCGACAGTTGCTCTATAACTGGTGGAGTGGGAGGAGTTATGGGCGGAGTCGGGTGTAGATACTTACGTTCCTGGACGGTGTGGATAGTCCGTGGGGCGGTGCCGAAATTTTTAAAAACGGCAGGGGCGAGGTTTGAGCGGAAAATCATGCAGGGTGACATTAACGTGAAGATAACCTTGGATTTGACAAGAAGTTTTTTTGACAGGTGAGTGAATCTCAGAGTGCTTTTAAATTAGTTTTATTTTGACCAATGTTTGTTATCTTAACTTCGCGTTTCACAGTTTACAGAATACAAAAAACTGGTTTTCCGTTGTCGTCTGTTGATAACTTGATTACACAAATTTTATAAATTTTTAGATTAGTTCTAAAACTGATTTATTCATTGCCTGCAAACTTTAATGACATCATCATCAATTACTGTCGAGTTAATCTTTATAGTTAACTCGTTTCAACTAATGGTTAGTATTTATCGCCTTTTTCATTGTTTTCCTTATCCTTGCTAAAAAATTGATAACGTTCACAACAAAATTTGCTTATGAAAAACTCACTTTGAAATACTTGTTTACCTACCTGTATCTTTTTTTTTAATTATAGAGGTCATCATGAAAAATAAAATTGTTTGATACTAATTCAAGGACGAGTGACATTCGGTCTTTGATTTTTTTTTAATGTACATTATTTATAAATTTTCGTCAAGTTTTTTTTATCACTGAGTAAAATTCTAGATAATGTCTGGCGAGTCACCTCTTCGTCACACACGGACTTACTTGACATTTCGTTAAAACAAGCACTGTCGCACCAAAAAAGCATGACACATATTTAGTAAATATTCAAATCGAATTTTGGCACGGTAATCGCGTTAACGCATCTTTTATTTAAATATACATATATGTGTATATACAAAATCAGAACTACCGCATCACCGTAGATAGAAAACGCAAATATGACGCAACAGCATGATGCAACCTAGGTTATGTTTGTGACGCACAAAACCTCAGTTTCTTATAAAGAAGGCTCTAGCGAAGTCGCAGTATTAATTTCAGTATTAGATGACCATGGCCACAAAATTGCTACGTAACTTATCGCTGATAAGCCGCGTCAATCACACCAAAACAATACAGTAAGCCCATTCTCACTTAACCTTTGCCCCCCCTAAACCACCAGCCTACTATATAAACCAACTTCCTCTTTCAACAGCAACACCATGAGTCGGCACCTTTCGGCCCTCCAGTCCGACACGGTTTTCTCAATCCAAGAACGTAAGTATCGCACCCGTGCCACCACGAGAAACCCATCAACCTATTACAGTCACTCAAAAACTCACCAAGGAGATGGGTTTCGGGGGCGGCTACTCCCCCATGCCTTCCAGCCGCGCGCACCTCGTCCAGTACCTCCCCAAGAGCCAGAACGATCTGCCCTCCCGTTCTATGCGCGACAGCTACCTGGTGGCCCTCATCCCCCTGTCCACCAACACGCGCCTCCAGGACAAGTACACTACCTTCTTAGGGTCCGTTCGCGTGGGCCGTTTGCTCGAAGACATGGATATCTTCGCCGTCATGGTCGCCCAGAAGCACATCCTCAACCCCGACCTCCCGTCGGGTATCCCGTCGCCGCAGACTTTGGTCACGGCGTGCGTGGACAGGATCGACTTCAGCGACTTCGTGCCCAAACCCCACGAGGACATCAAAATGTCGGGACATGTGAGCTGGGTGGGTCGTAGCTCCATGGAAGTGGTGGTGTGGCTGGAGCAGAGTCGCTACGGCACGTGGCACCGCATCACCAGGGCGCTGTTTCTCATCGCCGCGAGGGACCCCACGAACGCGAGGGCGGCGGTGGTGAACCCCATCGAGCCGGCGGATGAGCGCGAGAAGAAGATTCTAGCTGGAGGAGAGAAGAGGAAGGCGCTTCGAATCGCGTCGGAGAAGCAGCACGTGTCCAAGGTGAGTGTTAGTGCGTTTTTGCGAAAACTGAGTGGATGTTGTAGGTGATTCCCGACGGAGACGAGCAGAAGATCATTCATGACTTGTATATGAAGACTAAAGCGAGCGATGTAAGTTTGAAGAGTGTGATGCTTCCTCCGGGGGGAGTGTGGATGGAGGATTGCGTTATTTCGAACACGATTTTCTCGCAACCGGAGAACAGGAATCTGCACAATACCGTGTTTGGAGGGTTCATTATGAGACAGGCTGCTGAGTTGAGTTGGGTTTTGGGGTTCAAGTTCAGCAAGTACCGGCCGAAAGTGAAGAGTATAAGCGATATTAAGTTTAATAAGCCGATTGCGGTGAATTCTTTGATTCACATGCACGCGTTCGTGGTGTTCACGCATATGCAGTACGTGCAGATTACGGTATACGTGGAGACTTTTGATCCTCAGACGGGGGCCAGCGAAACCACTAACATAGTGCACTTTACGTACGAAGTGCCGGAGCTCGTGAAGGAGGTATACCCGCGGACGTACCAGGAGGCCATGATGTATATCGACGGGAGAAGACACTTTTTCGAAATCATGAAACCGGGGTCCTACGACGAAGGGAATATGCTGGAGGAGGAGGGAGGTGTTACCAAGAGTAAGCTTTAAGGGGTCGGGGTAATTGTACGGGTGTTTTTTATTGTGATATGTTTTTTATGTAATGTCGTTGAGTTAACGCAAGTTTGATTCTTATATTTATTGATTTTTTAACAAATAAATGTGCTACATCTTAATTTTAACACTTTATGCTTGGACAACAGAAAAAAAAAAATGGTGACAAGAAAATGGGTGCCAAATGGCTGTCTCGAGCAACCCCAGATGATACCCAAATTGACTGGATAATTAACTGTTTAAACGCACAAATTGTTCTTGTTTTAAATATGACGTCAACCATGACGATAAACCTAGAACCCATAAATCCGACTTCAGTTGTTTTTTATACTTACTGATTTTTTTTTTAAGAAATACATGTGTTAAACCTTACTTTTGACATCGTTTATTGTAAAAATTAAATACAACAGTGCACAATATATTATAAAAAGTTTTAAAATATAAAACATCCAAACAATATACAGCTACGAGCGCGGGGCGGCGGGGGCCAGGAACCCCCCACCCCGCCCCCTACACATCGTAATCACAATAAATAACAATAAACCTATCTTTAAGTTAAACAACGCTTTACATCTGCACAAATTTACAAAAGACGATCGTGATATGATCTAAAAGCACTTGGTTGACTTAACCTTAAAATGGAAGATAGACTCTCGTAACTTAAAAACCTTAACTATGCTCAGTTCGAGTGTTTCTCTTTAAAATAAATAAATTCAGGGCTGTACGGGTTGCCGAACATTCTCGTGTACTTGATCAACAACTCTCTCGACCTAAACAGGAAGATCAACTTCGCAAAGAGCTCCTCCTCGAGGTCGTACTCCTTGAACGCCCTCACGATATAAATATCATTGATCAACGAATAAATCCTGTTAACGTTCGGCAAACTGCGCAGCCAAATCGCATGAGTGATGTTCCCGACGATCACCATTCGCACCAGCCGGAACAATCCGATGAAGTAAAGAGCGTACAAACCAAAAATCCTAGATCACGGGCGGGTAAGAATTCGAAATTGTGGGTCAGTCTATAGAGACGGAGGCCTCCTCCGACGAGCAACGGGTCGGTCATCGACCCGTTCCTCGCCGAAACCAAAGAACTAAAGCGAAGCCATAGTCTACAAGCTACGGTTCCTGAGAGAGACATTACGAGTCCCCTTCGGGGTCCTCGTCGTCCGCGAGCTCCTCTTTCGGTCGCGTCCACTTGATCATCGTCTCGGGCGACCGGAACAAGAAGACCAGCTTGGCGAAGAGGTCCTCCTCGAGGACGAATTCGCCGGCCTCCCGGACGAGGTAGATGTCCAGGCACAGTTGGAGCACGCGATCGATGTTCGGCATATCCTCGAACATGATCTTAAAGCACTGTTCGGCGAAAAAGCCGCGGAAGAAGCGGAAAGCCACGAAAACTAGAGTTGAATAGAGGCCGATTATGCTGCAATCGGGCGAAGAATGAGCAAATTTACCGAAGCACAACAGCTCGAGTCGAGCGCTACTCGCACTTACCCTCCTCCGGTCAGGATGCTGAGGGTGCTCGGGAATATCTTGTCGTTGAACGTGTACAAGATGATGAAGTCGCACTCGGGGTCGGCGTAGGGGATCTTCTTCAAGAACTTCTTCCCGTTGAAGTCGTTGCAGGCTTCTTTGATGATCCACCACTCCTTGGCGTCGCCTTCGTTGGTGCTGTGTAACATGAGGCTGATGTTGCGGAAGGCTCTTCCGACCGGACTGGCGCTCTCTAAACACGAAAAGATCAGTTAACGCACAGGCGAAGAACGAAATTCAACCTGAGTCGGCCTTGTCGACGAACATCAGTTGCGAGACCGCCTTGGCGGTCCCTCTGTTGGTGACCTTAAGGAACTTGGGGAGGATGTTTTCCAGCACCATCGGCGGCGCGTTTTTATTCCCCTGCAACATCTGCAGGAGGTTCTGGCGCATCACGTTGGGTTTTCCGTCGACGAGCGCCGGGATCGTGATCTCGACGTTATCGGGGATGACCCCTGAGTCCTCCGGTTTACTGGTACGGTGGGACACTTTGTACTCCAGCCGGATCTTGAGGGGGTCGGTGGAGTTTACTTCGTTGAGCATTCGCTCGCGGTCCGGCGGCGAGATACTCCAAATATTGGCTGAATTCGAGCTGATGACCACGGCCGCGATGTCCGGACCCTCGTAGTTGGAGATGAAGGTCGCGGACGTCTTCTGCTGGAGGTAGATTTGTTGGAGTTTGTGCAGGTTACTCTCGGTAAACCTAAACAAATCGGTTGAGAGGAGAAAGTTGTGAGATTGGTGGAGTTACTGTTCGATGGAGTTGCTCTGGGCTGACATCGTGTACACCGGTTCGTAGGGTCCGATTCGGATTTCCAAGGTGACGTCGTACGGGGGATTGGGGTGCCCGACGGCGTTACCTAGGGAGAAGAAGACCAGAGGGAACCAGATGATGGCGATGATGAGGGCTAGGATAGCTCCGCCCATGAGATACTTGATGATGGGGGGTTTTCTCTCGCCTCGTGGTTGCGGGTACTCGTCCTCCACGTGGCGCGTACACTGGAAAAGAGTGGTAGTGGTGAGAGAGAGTCAGAAGGGGCACGATTTAAGCAAAAACCACAAATTCAAAACACAAAATCATGCAATGACCTGCTTAGAAGATGTCTTAAGACTAACCCCCTAGAGATCGAAAAATGAATTAGTGTGTGGGAGTGAGGGATGTATGTCACCGTGCTTACTTTGATCTGGAAGATGTGCGCGAAGATGTCTTCCATCTTGATCCAGTCGAAGACCGTCATCGAGGTGTCGGTCCACATCCAATCCATCACCGTACGCAGCTCGAAGAGGAAAGGTACCGCCATGAACGCCTTGAAAAGGAACATGTTGAGGTAGTTGTAGCCTTTGCACAAGAAGTTCCCCAAGATCCGAGTCGGATAGCCACATCGAATCTGGTAGGCGGACAACAGCAAGTAGAAACACTTGACCATGTAGTACATCTGAGGTGCCAGAACTGAGTTGAAACCCCTACGAAAAGACGGTGAAGAGACAGTAACCACCACGACCAACTAATCACCTCTCCGTGATGATCGGGAACAAAACGAACAACCATATGTGTAAAACAAACACCTGGATAAACTGGAAGATGATCTTCGCCAGAATATTCTTCCGCAGGAAGATCCCCCTGTCGACGATGATCAAAGTAAACTGGAGTATGAGCATCAAGAGGAACAGCACCGGCACCCTGTCGTCCTCCAGGTACGAAGACACCCCGCCGTCCCCCTGCTGCGTCCCGAACGAGCTATACCCTAACAAAATCACAAAAAAGTTGTAGAAATCGCACAGAAACATGTAGGAGTAGACGTCGGCGGCCACCCTCGACGTCGGATCCCGCAGCTGCTTGAAGAACATCTTGATATTCTCCCCGTACTTTAGCAACCTGAAACACACCGATCATTACCTCGTATCTCCCAACCCCCGACTACTAACGCCATCTTCAGACTCTGCGGCAGGTGCTCTAACACCGGCACGGTCTCACAGTGGATCGTCACCAGTTTGTTCTCCATGTCGCTCCTCTGCAACCGCTGCTTCCCGTCGTACTTTTGCTCTCTCCCTTCCTGCTCCTCCGTCTCGTCCACCAGCCGCTGGAGGTCGCTCGCCCTGCTCGTCGCTATCGAGCTCTTCGAGCCGGCGCTGCCGTTATCGCTGCAAATCGACATTAGATTCGCAAAGGTCGAAAGTCGCTGGCGAACGTTAGTGCAGGTACCTTGCCTCCTTCTTACGGAAGCAGGAACGTAATAGGCCGATATTCAAACGGCCTCGGTTAGTAGCGGGAAGAATTCGGGATTCGTGCTTATATTTTGTGTTTCTAGAAAGGGGGTTAGAGGTGTGGAGAAAGGAAGTGTGCGACTGTTACCTTTTCCGGCTGATTGTGCCCGCGAGGCTCTCCACGGGCTCTAACGTGCCGCGGGGACCGATCTTGTACTCGCCTTCGGAGAGGAGGGCGGCGGGGGTCACGGACGTCTTCCACAGACCCATGGACTTCAACATAAACCTATGGAAGAACACGACGAGGAGGAGGAGGAGGTCCCAGACGGCGTAGGTGGGGTGCCTTTCTATGCCGATGATGCGCGGCGGGTAGAAGGGGTTGTTGGTGATGGCTTGGCTCTGGTTCCACGGGATGATGTCGAATTGGAACATGCACTTGATGAGGACTATGATCTAGAAATAGTGTATTATCATAAGAATATAACAAAAATTCCTTCTTTTTTTTATTAGATTATGTTGTTTTCAATGTAAGGTTAGGAAATTTGTCAGAAGATAAAGTCAGATCAGAAACATACACATTGTTGCTAGTGTTCTCAGCTGCAGTCCGTACGAAATTGTAAAATTTTTTCACATTTTTATTACAATTTTTTATTATAGTACGACAATTTTTTGCACTTTCTATTGAAATGATTGACACTGACATAATTAAACTACTTGATTCAAATGAAAATGAAGTATTAAACTCGAAGCAAATCTCGGGATAATTATGTCATACTACTGACAGATAAAAAACTCCGAAATCCCTATTTAAAATTTTAGGGACTTTGAAAAACTAGAGAGATCTAGAATGGGGTACCTCGGTGTACGCGATGATGGTGACCCAGAAGGTCTTGTCGGGCCGCGGGATGGTGAGGGTCCCCCACAGGAACACCATCAGCGGTAGCGGCAGTGACAAGAACGTTGCCGACTTGATTTGGTTGAGGAAGATGATGAAGTAGCACACGTTCTCCGACCTACTCATGATGATGTACCATACGGCGAGGACCAGCCTGATGAAGGGCGGCTGGTCGTACGACGACAACTCGGTCCCCTCGTACTCGTCGTACATGTGTGACTCGTCCGCGCTAGAAACATCGTCTTTGTGAGGTTCGTTCGCGACAGGTCGGACACACCGACGCAACATCGATAATAGTCACGAACGAAGCGTAAGGTGTAGAAGAGTCGAAAAAAAAAGCTAGAGGGGCGAGGCCATGCACCAAGCGCACAACACCGTGCGTGTTTTACCTTGGTGGTGGGAAAGGCGAGTCTAATCCACGTTCCAAGCTCGGGGCCAGGATGCGGATTTCGGGGACCGTGAGAACACTCGCCTTGCGCCTACAGCCAATAACATACAGCCTTCTACACTACTGTCATTCGTTTATTGTACATCATGAAAAAATATACCCGTCATTTGAAAACAAATACCTTTCCATTTCGGAGGCGTACGGCAGCGCTAACGTCTTCATGTCACTTTCTTCGCTGAGGGACTTGTCTCGCTGGGCCGGCGGATGTTCCGGCGAGGCCCTGAGAGATTCGGGAGGGAAAAAACGGTTAGTGGCGGTTCGTGATTAGTAGAAAGTGAGGAGGGTTCGGAAAAACAGACCTGTCCGAAACGAGTCTATAGGAATCGGAGGGACTGAGCGTTCCGGCATAGGGCGTCGGGATCGCCGAATCCTCGCTACGCAGCAAGGAAAAAACACTACTAGCTACACACTAATCTAACGCTAGCCAAAAACTCGACGCAAAAAATCGAACGCGGAGGACACTTACAAGGACTGCTTGAGGAGGCTGCCGTACGAGCCGGACGGCTGCCACACCTGGCTGTTGCCGACGCGAAGCCCCACTTGGTAGTTGGTGTTTTCCTGAAACCGCGTAACGTAAAAATTGTAAAAACACATTCTTATGGAGAAGAAAGAGTACCTTCAAGTATTTCTTCTCTTGCGCGAGTACTCTCAGCACGTATCTGTAGTCGCGCGAGTAGCGGTTGAGAAAGTTCGTAAGGCTGACCATCGTACTCTGGATGAACGCCCATATGAAGAGCAACGCCAGGTGGATTCGGTCCTTCAGGGTGTAGGCTACGGAGAAGCTCGTCAGCGATGGCAAAACAACTAAAATTCGCTACCTTTCTCCGCCGGTTCGCTCATGTCGTCCTCGTCGTCGTCTTTACTGGTGCCCGGCTGCGGTTCGTCGCCCTTCTTAGGTTCTTCGACGATCTTCACGGTCCGGTGCTCTTCGATCTAGAAAGAGCGGGTGTAAGTCGTCGGAATAAAAATGGGAGAAACACAAGCGTCAAGCGTGAGTCTCCAGTCGCGTCTCCGGTTGTCTGCATGTACAAAAATGTAAGCCAAGCGGTTGTCACAGCAACTAGGTGAGTTCGTTAGCAGTGATTAGCAACTCACTATGGGCGGTTCTGAATACGGTGCAGACATCTGCGATCTGGTCGATATAATCGACTTCTGCCTCGTCGGCAACGGCATGCTCCCACGTCTGTGAATGTCCGTGCTCGACTTTCCCACGCTAGTACTGATGTCGGTCTTCATCGCGGTAGCTAACAGCTATAAATGTTAATAGAGTCATGCACGGGGTTAGTCTCCCTCGACCGGGTGCACCTGGTGAAAAAGTGTCTTACCTCACCGACCGTCTGCCCTTGCGGCTTGGGCTCGTCGTCCTCCTCTTCCTTCGGAATATCCATGAAATCTAACTCATCATCATCTAAATCATCGAACATGTAGTAGTCACCGGAACGAACGGCTAGAGGAAGAAGAATGGACGATTAGTCGAAAATTAGTAGCGGAAGCCCTTTCACGATGGACCAACAACCCACAAGCAGCGACACTACGTGTTAACAACTCGTAAGAGGTGTATGTACAACAGGCCATAACAATGAGTTCTCCTACGATGGCACACTCAAACCCCACACTCTTCAGAACACCAAGTTAAACACAACGCACACACTAAAGCCAAAAAAGTTGTGTCGAAACTCAAATACGCTCATGCCAAAAACCTACGAACCACACCATGTAAACCAAAACCCGACTGTACAGTGATGAGTTACGCAAACACCCCCCCCCAAAAAAAAAACCAAATTACCCTGTTTGTACGACTTCGGCTCGCTTCTTCTGCGCTTAGGCCTACCCTTAAATATCGTATCTACAAAATCAAAAACATCCATAAAACGTTTGTACATCGAAACCGTGCACTTAATATATAAAACAAGTGAAATTATTGATGTACACTATATCCGAAACGAAAACTCTGAAGCTATGTACTGCCTCGTGCCTCAACATCAATAATTCCTACATTCGTGATGACTCAGCGGCGACCTGGACGAGTACGAGATAATGCTCTGCCGAGGCGTCACGAAACTCCCCTGCATCCACGGCGGCCCGATGCTCGTTTGCCTCTGGGCCGGCGGCGGCGGCTCGCTCACGGCCTCGGCGTACGGCGGCGCCGCGTCGTAAGGCGGCGGCGAGAACACCGGGAAGCTATCGTCGGGGGAGTGAGGACGCGGATTGAGTTCGGAATTAGGCGGGGAGCTGAAGGACATGCGCTGGGGCTCGAGGTAGCCCTCGAGGGACACCGTCATGACGGCGCTGTAAGGAGAGGGTGCTTGCTGCTGAAGGAGGGAACTGCGGGGGGTGAGAGGAGCGTGCTCCTCGTCGTCGATGGGGGTGTGGTAACCTCCGGGGGAGGTGTGCTCGGACGTCGCCGAGCCGCACGACGAGACGGACGAAGAGTGGGCCAGCGGCGGCGCTGCAGACGCTCAATTATCGAGGGAACGGCGCTGGGGCGGCAGCGACGGACATCACATTCGACCTCCGCCGCCGCGCCGCTACTCAAAAAACAATTTCTTACCCACGTAGTGGTTGTCGGTGTCTTTGTACGCCGCCCCTTGCATCTTCTGCTGATTCGCCTTGATCTTCTCCATCTTGGTTTTGATTTTCTCGAGGACTCGGCGTTCTTGCTCCTCTTGCTCCACCATGCGCTTCAGGCGTAAATTCTCGATGAGATCGGCGCCGCGCGACGCCAGGATGGTGGCGGCTTTGGTCTCGTTGATGAGGTGGAAGAAGTTGTAACTCTGGAAGATGCGCCTCTGGGTGAGCATGAAACCGAAGCACAACCCGTCCCAAACTAAGCCGACGAACTCTCGCGGGACTTTGCACTCGTTCTCGCTGGCGAGGCCCGCTTGGACGGTCAAGTCGCCGAACTTCTTCACGCACCCGATTCCGAAGAGTTGTATCACCCAGCAGGCGTACGTCGGGATATCCTGGATGAAGATGCATCCGACGATCTGAAGAGATACTTTGATGAGGATGACGAACACGTTGTAGCCGAGGAAGAGATCCCAAACTTTGATGATTTTGGGGATGGGGCGCAAATAGAGATCGGTGCCTTGCCAGAGGAAGACGAAGGCGCCGATGAGGTAGCCGATCGAAAAGAGATTAACCCGGTTGGTACCAGCGAGGAAAACTATGGCCAGCGTAATCCAGAGGAAGCTGTTGAAGAGTCCCTTTTTGACGATGTCGAGGTACGACTTGATGCTGGAGATGTAGTCCGGGACGGGGTTGACAAAGCCGGGTTCTTCAACGTGGTGGATAATACTATCGTTGGAACCGCCTGGGTACGAACGTCCCGCCCAGCGCTTTTCGATCCTGAAGACTACGGCTTGCCGCGACACGATGAGGAGGAGGATGAAGTCGCAAATGAGTTTCTTGGAGGCGGGGGGGTACTCGGTGTCTAGTAAGTAAGCCCACTCTTGCAGCCTCCGGTAGATCTCGGCTTGGCGCTCGCCGTCCGAATCCCAGTAGTTCACGTCCCACGGGAACACTGGTCAAGTTATTATAATTATTATTAATCTTCATTGAAATCACAAACTCGTCGGAGTACTTACGGATGCAGAGGGTCGGCGGCAAACCCACCGCCATCACGTACTGGATGGGAAGAAGGAGAGCAATGAACGTCATGTAGATGCTCCAGATTTTCGCCAGCGTCTCCCTCTTACACACGAACATCACACACAACCACACGCTGTAGATGATGGAGTACAAATCCATCCGGAACCCGATGACAGCCACGGTTGCCATCAGACAAATCTACAAAACAAAGAATCGAATCGACAACCAGCACCTCAACGCTCTTACCTCGACCCCAAACTTGTAGAACCCGTAATTCAACAGATATTTGATGCAGGTTTTTATGTTCTTGTCGGCTTCGCGCACCGTGATTTTCGGGAACATGAAGAACGCCCTCGTCGTCGGCTTGCCTTTGGAAACCCGAAAGTTGAACTGTCGCACCAGCACCACCGCCCAAATGCTCACCACCAGGATGTACATGATATTCCATTTGACCAGATGTGGCAAACTCACGTCCTTCGCTGTTTTCCTGAAGCCCAGCCAAACCGCATTGTGGACCACCTCGGTGGAGTTGTGTACCTGTCGAAGAGGCTCTCAGCGCGAATCGCCACTCTCCGACTCTTACCTCGCACGTCACGTTCCAATTTTTCGGGTCGATGTAATCCGTCTGGTAGATCATCCGCGCCAACAGCATCAAACTGACGAAGATCGAGCTTGTGTAGATGGCGAACGTCTGCATGGGGCGACCGAAGGCGCACGCGAGCACTATAAGGAACACCAGGAAGAGGTAGAGAGCGGACTTGTCGTAGATGCACACCAGCATGAGAAAGAAGATGACGAACTTGGGCATGTGCAGCTCCAGGAAAAGAAAGGCGAGATTGATGTAGCGGTGCACGTGGTGGGTGAACTGTTGCCACCCACTTGACGTATCTGTGTCGGTGACGTCCTTGATGGTGGACGTGGTGTCGTCCTTGTCGGCGCCTCCTTGCAACGAGCTCTGATCGAGGTCGGCTCCGCTCATGGTAGCGTTCTTGGTGTCGGACATGTCCATGAAGTCCTTGTGGAAGTAGTGCAGCTGGATCACCGTGATTATGACGAAGAAGGTGGGGGTGACCAGACGTACGAAAAGCTGGGTGGGTCCGAACTGCTCTAAACCGATGTCCAGTTGCCTAGACACCACATCAAGCAACACTCCGTCGGAGGTTTCGTCATACTCACCGCTGCAGAGGCACGTGCAGGTAATCCCTCCAGTAGTAATTGAAATCCGTGAACTGGTAAGTGTACACCATGACTAAAATCGCCATCGAGTAAACGATCACCGTCAGCCAGAACCCGAACATCATCTTCCTCCACACTCTAAACGACATCTGGAACGTGAGTATGAAGAAGAGGAATAGCGCCATGTAGATGATCCTGAAGGCGGTCATGCGTTCCCCGGTGATGGCCACGGCGAAGAGTGTGATGGCCACCACCCAGATCCAGAACTTGGTGAGGATCTTGCGTATGTGGACTCCCATCTTATCCATGAAGCGAGTGCCCGGCTCCAGGTCGCTGTCGCCGCCCGTGGCCGCACTCACGGTCACTTCTAATGGGGCCGCCATATCGGCGAGGGCGTGACTCTGCCTCTCGTTCATGGTTTCCCTCACGAACTGCCTCAGTGTGATCCAGAACATTCCCGTGAACAGGCACTTGACTAGAAGGGGGTTACACGGGAGGTCATCGACTCGCGTGAAGCCGACTTCCGTCATGTTGACGCCGTTGATGACGGTCGGGAGCTCGGTCTCGAACAGATCCATGGAGTAGATGTAGGCGACGACGAGGAGGAACCACGCGTACGCCACGAGAAAGGGACTGGAGCGCAGCATGGATTTGCGTTGGTTGGGGATCAGCCACAGGAGGTTAGCCCAGAGGAGGAGGACGAACGTCATCCAGCTGATGTAGGTGATGCTCCAGGCCTGCAAGCGGCAGTCAGTACGAGTTAGGTTAGATGAAGTCGAGTCCTTACCATCATTATGATGTTGGTGGCGATGTACGAGGATTTGATGATGACTTGGAGCACCGACTCCATGGCGAACATGACATTTTCGAGGAGCGTGGGCTTGTATTCCTCTTCTGTAGTACCTTGGCAAAAAGTGTCTAGAGTATTATCTTGCCACGAAGGAAGAGGAGGGTGTGACTGGTGTAAGAGATCTTACCCTTACCGAGTCGGTCCATGGGGATGTCGTCCGGATTGTCGCCCGTCACGGTCACGCTTCCCGACGAATCCTGGTATAGTGAGCCGGATTTTTTCCCGGAACCGTATCGACGGGACGGACTTACCCCTCCGATCAACTAACGGAAAAAAAGAGTGAGTTTCACCGAAACGACACGTGGCGGAGCAATGTTAAGACAAACACAACAAGAAGCAAAGCGGGGTTATAAAATCATAATAATAATGATGATAATAATAATAATAAAAAAGAAAATACGTACGGGGGTGTTCTCGGATATGGAATTGCGGCCGCTCGTATTCTAAAAAAAAAGAACGGAAGAAAGCAAAAATGAAAAAATTAGTAATAAATAATAAAATTAAAGAAAACACATCGGCCAGAACAAAAAGTTAGTAGTGGTGGCACGGCTTACTCGGACTTTGCGAGTAGCACTCTGCCACTTGGTTCTCGTCGTCGCTCTGCGCATTAGTTGCCTGTTAGAAAGCCTCTGCGACATTTGTCTGCTCAACGGTTTCGTCAAGCTCCCGTCGAGACGCAAGAAGGCTCCTTGCTTCTTTTGCGACTGGAATAGTGCACAGGTTAGTCGACAACCGCCCCTCAAGACCCACCCAGAGTTAGTACCCAACCGTTATCGCGCATTACCTGAGGCTTCAACAAGAACTTGGACTCCAGCGCCAGCACATAGTACAGCACGAAGAGAGCTATGGGGTTGACGTACGTCGCCCATTCCGCGTCCTCCAGGATGAAGGTCCTCGGATCCCCCGTGCAGTTCACCGAGAAGATCGGCGTCAGCCCGAAGTACCTCGCATAGGTGCCGTTGAAATCCAAATTCTCCTGCGGCCACTGGAACTGGTACGAGTACAACGTCCCCATGTGCGCCACCACCACCACCATCAGACAGCGCATGACCACCGCGAACGCCTTTCCGAGCTCCTTGCAGCACGCCCACCACGTCGCGGCCGACAGGAACACCAGGAAGTACAACCCGCCGAGGACCGAAGGTCGCAGCACCGCCGCCACGCACAGCGCAATCAACGTGGCGTACTTGCCCATGGCGACGAACAGAGCGAACTGCTTCCGATTGGCTTTGGCCTTCTGGGGGAGATCCTCGCGGTTCTCCACCACCTCGATCGAGCGCTTCTGGAGGAGTTTATGGCAGATGACGTAGGTGCCCACCGACGTCACCACCATGACGATCTCGGGCGAGATCCATGTGATCACGACGAGGGCATCCATGTCGTCGAGCCGCACCAGGCCCACGTGGCGCAGGACGATCTCCAGGAACTCGCATTTCGAGAAGATGTGGCCGTAGGGGGGCATCGACAGGAGGACGATTTGGAAAGCTAACTGAGCGATGAACGTGAGGATGGACGTAGCGATTAGGAACTTGAGGTAAAGGCCGGTGGAGCCGACCATGGAGCTCACGGTGGGGATGGGGACGCAGGGGAGAATAAGGAGGAAGAGGAAGTAGATGGCGGAGAGGCCGGACGGGCGGAACACGATGCCTGCAAAGACAAAAAGGGGGTGTAAATTAAACTTCCGATAGTTTAAGAAATTTACATATTTTTTAAATAATGATGTTGGCACTACCTGTATTTGATAGGTATTTGACCGAAACTGTCAAATCGACCAAGAACTGCGTTAGTGTTGCCAACATAAACTTAAAATCACATTTTGTAGTGCAATTTAAGAAAAATTCTGATACATTCTTAGAAGGTTATGGAGTTTTATGACACCCTGTTGGCTTTATTAAATGTCAAAATGGTTTGAATGATTATGGAATGATTTCAGAAAATAATAAAGGCAAGGGAATTTCTGTCAAACTAACCTTCGACCGATGTTTTTTTATTAACCATTATTTTTAAATGTAATCTGATATATTGGGTATGTACGCTTTTTGGATTTTGTCTTTGGATGATTAAATTACATCATTGTTATTATTGTTGTCATATTTTTATCAATCCGGCGTCGAGCGTGCGATAACTCGGTGGCGCCTTCGAGAAAAACTTCACTGGTCGGTTATTTTCGGCCCCGCCATCCCGAGCCCCGGATCGTTCCCTCTCCGCGCCAAGGTCGATCAATTCCCGGCCGGTCCCATTCATGGGACCGCGAGATCGCCTCGTGACATAGTAAGAACTGCCAATAACCTTTTATCGATGTGGAGGGTGTGGACGTTTATTTAGAGGGTCCAACCCCGATATTAATTTCGGCGACAACGCGACCGTCCTGGTGCCTCCCGGAATACGACAATTGTCGTATCTCCTGACATTTTCGCCTTGAGGCTTGCGTAGTGGGCGGTTTTTGTTGAAAAAAAATTATATGCACGGACCCACCCCGCCCTCGCTACGGTCTCTTGTTTCGTGGTAAAATGTCGAAATGCCACCCCGAAAGTCGGTCACACGAGCACGGATAATTAGGGCGCGGATTGGAACGTCTGCCAAAATTTCCGACTTATTGTTTAGCGGCGTTTCGCTAAAATTAACATAAACACGGGAACGGAGAGGTGGGCGTCTTAATGCACTAAAACTGACTTTTATTTGAGGAGAGAACATACGGAGCGATGCAATAAACATCAAGCAGTCGATTGATGCAGTTACGGGCGTTTTGGGAACGGATGGTTTTTTAAATGTTGTTTTTTAAACCTTACTTCTCTGGTTACTTTAACTATGATGTAAGTAGCCGGAAAAAAACATTTTTTTTAGCTCGGAGGGTTCGGTTCGAGCTGGCTCGGCCGTCGTAAAGTGTATCATACTTTTATGGGCGTGATTTTCTCATTACGAACGAAACAGCAGAGGAAAAATTATTTATAACTTTGTTTGCACGACACAAAATTAAACAAACGTTCCCAGGAGAGGCGACACACGAAGTGAAAAACTTCATTCGTGCGATAAATTACTATTGTGGTTGTGGGCTGATACTGGAACATTTAACCGAAAATTGGCAGACATCGTCGAACTGTTGAACGATTTATGAAGATCAGATTTGCATGTCTGTTACAGTTTATTGGACATGACATGACTCACAGATACGTACAGACAGCAATCGAGACTTGTGAAAAATCGCAGCACCTTTAAACATTTCTTTTGAAATTTTATTAGCACTTTTATATTACTTGCAACCGTAAACAATTTACTTCGTGAAGTTAGTAAAGCTAAAGCGCCAGTTTTAGCTTAATGACTAATACAAGTGTCGCGATTCTTCAATTTTTCAGTTTTAAGATTTTTAATTTTTTACTGGCATCTCATCAACCTCACGCCACTGAGTCGGAGCTGCTACACTTAGTGGCATGTGGAGCGACATAATATCTAACTATAATCAAACATTTTTCAAACTGTTATGTGTCAGTTAACTAACAACTTCCATCACCATAAATGTGAATTATCTACATACTATCGATATTTTCCACAGTTTATGGATAAAATGAGTCGCTTTTTCCACTGCTTAACTATAATGAACAAGTTTACTGCGCTATAAAAACGAAACTTGTAGCTATATAGAAAAGTAGCTAAAAAATTTAAATGTTCCGTATTTTCCACCAGTTCGACGAACGATGAAACTGGAAGAACATTTCGACGCCTATTAATATAATTCCTCATCTCTGCAATATTAATAAACTAAGATAAAAAGACACTGCCGGATCAATAAGTGGGAGTTGTCGTAAATCGTGATGAAATGTTGAAACTATGGTCGTTTCAAGTCCGCCGTAACGCAAACATAGCTATAATATCATAAATAAACTGCGCCAAGTAGAAACTTTCATTTCGCAGAAGAAAACCACCAAAAACGAAAATGGCAAATCATAAACGTTATCGTTATCAATTTATTAATTGATTATATCAAAAACGCACATATGGCCTGCTGAGTCACGATGAGCTCTCGAAATCGAGAAAGCCGATGGTATTTTTATGCAGTGTAGAAAAATGCAGATTGAAACAAGTATTTTTAGTAATGATATGCATGGATCCTGAAACTACAAAACACGACGCTGAAAATTTCGGTTTTTGGGACGCACGCGAATGCAATTACATCGAACAATGGAATTTTATTAAGTGGGATACTTCAACGAACTCATGTTTTTTGGTCTATCCAAGTACCTACTACTCGATAAAAATGATACATTATAAACTTTTTTTCTGGCTATAAACATTCACTGCCTCGGAAAGTCGATGATGTCATCGTCAAAAATTCCTGAATGCAAATTGCAGATCTTTTTGGTCGAACGAACGGGGTTAAGGAATGTGAAAAACATTAAAATAAAAGGCGCCGCACTAAATATGACCACAGCGTTACCACATCAAGGTCGAAATTACTTTGATAATATGGTAATAGTAATAGATATATTTGTGTTACCATACAAAATATTTACACACGTCATAAAATAATAAACATTTTGGATCAGTATTTTCTTAATACAACTTTAAATTGATTAAGATTAGCTTTTTTCATTACAGTAGGTATGGCGTTGTAACATTCCAAACTATAGTGAGCAAATGAACAAATAAAAGACATTGCAATATAAATTCACACGGAACTGTAATAATACCATATTTTTTTAAACAATTGTCGACAATCTTCTCTGTATCCGAGTCCACCAATAACCCTAACACATTTTCTCTGAAAAGAGATGTCCTTGCAGCATGAGCATGATATGGTAATGATTGTTATCACGTGGTGCAAAAAATCCCTCGTTTGGATAAACCGGTACGGATATCCGACTGGAACTACCGTGTAATTTATATTTTTGCCTCGTTCTGTGTGCTTTCGTTGAAAGTTTTAGGTGTGTTATGTGCATATTGGGGAGCAGTAAGCATTATCAGAACGAAGGCAAATATTTGCGTCATTGTTTGACTATCAGGTTCTGCGACGATGTATGCAGTGATATCGAAAATAAATGCATGCGGTGTTTTATATTTTCACCAGGTTGGAAAAGCCTTGGAACTATCTTGTCCGGTCTGAAAATATTTTGGACGCCGATTCGGAAATGACGAAATTTGTTGGTTTGATTATTGCGTAAAAAAATATATTTTCTGGTAATTATTAGAACATTGTTTAATATAAACAGAGATAACTAACTACGGGCTGAAAACATTGGATTTTGTTAGATCTGTGTCTAAAAAATATTTTAATTTGTTATGGCTGGATGCAGCAAGGAGCAAACAATCAAGAGGTCAAGAAGAACACTTATCGTAGTTTTGAATGAAATCATAGTTATGATTCGATCATTTTTATTAATATGTAATGACACTTTACAATATAAAAACTTTATCATTTCGGAAGACGAAGTTGTCAATGGGGAATAAACGAATTTGTAAGCGGTTAAGTTAAATGGACCCTATTACAATACTTGTTTGATTTGCATGAGGGAAGCAAAAACAAGGAACGTCGTCACCGAATCAAAATCACCACAAAAATACAACGACGGGTTGTCGGGACAAAATCAATTCTAACCGTTACAGCGGAGACAGCCGCCACTGCGTCACCGACTCGCCAGACCATAGAGAACACCACCCGAGTCGCAATAAGAAACGCTACAATTTAAATTATATGAAATCCAGAAAAGAAAGACAAATTAATATAAAAAAGAAGTTGAGACAAAACGTTCGCATAATCGTCAAGTTATAATGATTACACGTTCTAGCGCACTAAACAGGACGTAACAAACATAAAATTTCGAATTTAAACATCAAATTTAATTAGACGTGATGTGGATGGAAACGCCTATCAGTTTTCAGTTGCATTATTAACGACCAATAAAGTGGGTCAAACACGAACGCAGAGGTGTTTTAATAACGTAAAATTTTATTGCACCCGTTTTCTTCTTTATAAAGTTTACTGCTAATTTTGTGTACCATCAAATCAACCTCCCGCATCTCAGGACATCCAACCAAACCACCATAAAACAAAAACATCAATCCCCGCCGAAACAAAAGTATAAATTCGATCCTCCACAATTCCCGAATAATAAAGCTATTTTAAGCTCTATTTACATTAAAAAGCTCTCATTACTGCGTATTTTTATTTAGTGAATTATCTCACGTTACATCTATGCAATGTACTTTAACGAGAACTGAATGGCTCGCCTCTTTCGTCTTTCATTGATAAATCACTCGCGGCTCGTATTTGAGAAGAATCAAGTTTTACGATACGAAAACACCTGGAATGAGTGGAATTGTTAATCGGTGACGCCATCCTCATTATAATCGATTGAAAAAAAAATGGCCATCGTTGTCCATTAGCCGTTTCCGCGAAAATGTCGTTACACTGCAATTAATCGACCCTTGGGTGTCCCCATTACGGAACCCATTACCCGTTGCGTTTTACAGGGTGCGGTTAGGAACGGCACTTCTTCACAGTGATAAGTAAAATGGATCTAGATAATGAATTTTTAAAGCGGAACGCGTGGCGTAAGAGGTCGCATGGACTAGACACAATCGGAGAGTAGAGAGTATTTTTAAAAGGTCGCCGCACGCTTAATGGTGGAGAATGTCAGAGGAATATTCTGAGGAGGTGCAAATTAGTAGATTGAGAAAATAGAGATGATGTCATGGTGCATTATCACTGCTGTGCAAGATGTGTCAAGAGGGGTGAATCATGGGACTCCAGGGGCGTCCCAGGCGGTTTATTCTGACACCTGTAGAACCGCAAACATTAATATGAACAAGAATAGTGGAGAATTAAGGTTCTTGCTGTGTGGAAACATCAAATGACAACGCATATCTACAGGACGCATGTGAACTGTACTCAATTAGCATTACTTATATTTGCTTTCTTTTTATACAAAATAAAAATAAAATAACATCATTTTGTGTGTAGTTTTTTCTCCTCCCCTTCTGATGCATAATTTTCCCCTGACCCCCAACCCCGGCGCCACCACTGCAATTTATTTACACACAAGTTCCCACTATCATAATCGCTATAAACGAGGTCAAACTTAATTATATTACGGCTCTTCTGACATCACCTCACCGATTACTTTCGCAAAATAAAAAAAGCAAAGTACTTACATGCCCCAAGAATGATCGGCAGAACTATCCTAAATATGAACAGGCACAAAAAAAAGTTGGCCATCTTCAGCTAAGCGCTACACCTGCAAAGAACACCAGAATCAGTCCATCAACACGCCAAGTCTGTCCCATTTTCAATCTGATACCAGCGTATGTAGAAATGTAATTGGATTAATGTTACCTGCATTAATCATGGGTCGAGCACGCGATGATTCTTGACACACGTGTGACATGCCGGTTGACATGTGTCAAGTGTCATCACGAGTGACAGCTGCTTGTTTGATTTCTGTGAGTAGTTTATTTATTGATAAGGTAAACGGTGCGTACGACCCACCGGATTTGTTGGTTAGATAAACTCACCTTTATTTTTTGGGAGTCGAAATTTTTTTGCATTCCTAGGAAAACGTGGGGGCGACGGATGCGTTATTTCTCACATTGTTTTTTTTTACGTTTGAATTTGTATTTTTGGAGATGAGTGTTAATTTTCGCAGGACGTTACGCTCACAAAAGCTGCGAACAACTGACCGGCGATGTCACTTCCTAAAATGAAAACAGACGAGGATGAGGGAAGACGATGTAAAGAGAGACGGAGACACGATTGCGTAGGTGTATTGTTGGTTGCCTATACACACCAAACGCCATATATTTTTTTTTCCAAAATTCAACCTTATTTCTTAATTTTTTTCATAAATGAATAAGAATAGTTTTTAAAACCACGTTTTTGTGATATAAAAATTACAAAACCAATTTTTATACAACCAAACATAAAAGTAATATCCCTCTGTCCCTCAGCCACAACAAAACACCCCCCTTTTGCGAAAATACACGTTTTTATTAAATTAATAAACATCCATTACAAAAGTTATGTACAACGGCAGTAAATTAAACGCAAATCTATTATCAGATCTATAAAAAAAATAGCAAGTAGTGCACAATCTCATCTAGAAGCTTTCTACGGGTCGACGAACGCAATCATGATATATCTAATGCCCTTGGTGACCACCAACCCTTCGTGGTAGTGCGTCAACCTGCCTGGGTGCATCAACAACCACCCTGGTTTGGTGTCCACGACGCTGCAGTTGTACCTAATGAACCTGCAGCCGCCGCCTTCATAATCCTCTCCTCTCCGATTCAGCGCTATGTTGATAGTATAAGTGGAGCTGTCATGGTGGGGTCTCAGCGACGGCTGCTCTCCTGGCTTGTACCTCACGACGAAGTTCATCAAGGATCTCGGTGGGTCGTGGAAGTACCCCAGGAAAACGTGCTCCTGTAAAGGCCGGACGTACTTCCTGAGGAATTCCAACCAGTGGCTCTCCCAGCCCACTTGGTTCATGTGGATGTCGCGCGTGGGGACGGCCTCGTAGCCGCCTTCGAGGCGCGTGTCTTGGTTGCTGCCGTCCGACCACTTCCCGAAAGCCTCCATCATGTTGATCAGGCTGGTGCAGAAGCGGGGGCTGACGATCGGGAACCAGTACACGTCGGGACATGGCTGAAAACAATCTTTGTTATGTTTATGTAATTGGTGACGACGACGTTACCTGCGCGTTCTTCTTGTCTGGGTTAAAGCTCTCAGGGTACTCCTCGTGTATGAACCTGTCCTCCCAATCTCTTTCGTTGTCGAAAATCTGGTACATCTCCGGCTCAGTCCTCGTCACGTCGTACGTCTCTGGATTAACCAAGTGGCCGAAATCGACCCGGTTCGACACGTACAAGAACACATCCAGGTCCCTCAAGTTGGCGCAGAACGCCATGTCCGCGTCCAGGTTGTCCTTGGCATAGTTCAACTTTGACCTGTCGTATTTCTTGAGAAGCGTCGCGTTAATGACGTAACTATTCCCAATGAACGGTACATTCCATAACCCTCTGGAACACGCAAAGAAAACAACATGATTAGCGCGCGTCCCCGTTCGGTAAGTAAATAATGGTCCAATTACGTACCCCATGGATGCGATTTTGATCGTTATCAACAAGTGCAGATTTTTATAACCGAGCGTGCATCCGAGATGCAAAAACTGGTCATCGTGATCTGTCTGTGCGTACTAACGTCATGCTGGGCGGCACGAGGCGGCGGACGAGGAGGTACCACCATAGAATGGAGAGTACTGGACGGTACTTGATTATAAACTGATTATTAGGGAAGCACGGGAGGGGAAGAGGGCGATACTTCAACAATCGGGTACCACCGGTGATTCAGCACAGGAACCCGGCCTCGGCCAGCTACTACGAGAACAAAGATGTAAGGGTAAGAGCATGCACACGCGAAATCGTACAGCGCGGCCCGCAAAAATGTTATCACACTAGCGGCACGAAAACTATTACTTTGACAGATGACACACAATTAGGCCGGCGAGCGAAGCGCACGACACATCGACAGTGCATCTAATTGTAACTGTAAAGAAGGATCGTACACAAAATACAGATTCAAAAATTCATCGAATCCTGTGGTTCCTCTACTTTCTTATTTTTTAACCGTTTGTTTTTCAAGACTTTTATCGTTCTCGTCTCTCCACGTTTTCCGAGGGCTAATTCTTCCGTCTCAATTTAAAATCTATTAATTTCTTGGGATTTTCCATGATCTTTACGTTCTTCTCAACAACTTGATTTTCTGTATTTTCAAATTAAAAGTGTTTGACTGTTTTTCAGAAACTTGATTCTTTGATTGTTAAAAACAAATTCTAAATAAAGTGCTCGTCGAAGCCAAAAAAAACAGATTTCTCTTAAAACCTCTTCTTTCAAGCACACTCACCACTTGTACGATTTCGCGTGTTACCCTCTCGAACACTCTCCAGCGTCCTCCTTCCAGGGTGCGAAGATCGTCAAAGCCAGCCACTTCGAGCTGGAGTACATGCTCGGCCGCAAGATTACCTTCTTCTGCATGGCCCAGGGCTACCCCCGGCCCGAGATCACCTGGTTCAAGGACGGCATCGAACTCTACGCGCACAAGTTCTTTCAGGTTCGAGACTCTTTTAAGCATTTCCCGTGGTAATTTTGTGGCGCAGGTGCACGAGTGGCCCCTCGGCAACGACACCGTCAAGAGCAAGATGGAGATCGACCCAACCACCCAGAAGGACGCCGGCTACTACGAGTGCCAGGCCAACAACAAGTACGCAATCGACACTCGAGGTTTCCGCACCGACTACGTTATGATCGCTTACTGAATGTAGATTTTTAAGTCGAATAAAGGATGTAGTTTGTGGAAGATTTCCATTTGTTTCATTATCGCGCTATGCTAAAACTAATTCGGTGCAATCCGACAATTGAGACGAATTACGGGCAATCTGTGCACCGAGGGGGACTAATGAATTTTTCTATAACGTTCGCAGATTTGATAGAGAACGGTTCGTCGAAATGAGGGCTGCTGTTCTCTGTGTCGTGGTTCTGGTGCTCGCGGGGCTAGTGGGGGATGTGCAGGGCCGCCGGGGGCGCGCGAGGTCGAGGACCAAGTCGAAGGTACCACCGGAGGGGGTGAAAACCGCATCCAACTTAACTTGTTGTTTGTAGGTGCAACTGGGGCTACCGATCACGGGGAAATATAGGGACCCGGAGTCAGACCAGTACTACAATAACAATAACGTGAGTACGACGGCTGGTATGACCGTGGCTAACGTTGCGTTGTAGGGAGCTAAAATTACGCTAGCGTCGCACTTCGATTACGAGTACGTGTTGGGGCACAAAATCGCGTTCGTGTGCGTGGCCAAGGGCAGACCGCGGCCCCACATCACGTGGTACAAAGATGGCAGCGAGATCTTCACCCATCTGTACCTCAACGTAAGTACTTCCGTCCGAAATTCTCCTCTCACTTTAGATCGTAGATACACGAGTGGACTATGGGAGAGGACGGGATCAAGAGCAAGCTCGAAATAGACCCGGCGACCCAAATGGACGCCGGGATTTACGAGTGTACGGCAGACAACATGTATTCTATTGACCGTCGGTCTTTCAAGACCGATTTCAGTATTGTATTTGATTGATTGTGTGATAAATAAAGTGCTAACCTCTTCTCGTTGTGTACTATGTCCATGTAGTCGTTGGAGCGGGCGTAGAACCCATCCTTGGTCAAGGCGCCCCAGAAGTTGCTCCAGGCTTTGCCCGGACGAACCAACAGGGGGGCCACGACGGTCCTATTTTGTTCGATCAGTAGACGCATTGTGTGAGGGTTGTCCAAATGGGCGACGGAGTCCACGGAAAAGTAAAAATCGCAGTTCTTGGACAAGCACTGGTCCCTTAAAAACCGAAAATGCAAAGTCTGTCTTTACCCCCAGGTAGTACCGACTTACAGAGACAAGTCCCTAGCAGCCCACTCGGTGGTACCGTCCTCGGGCGTAATATCCTTGACGGAGTGATACTCCGAACCGTGCTTCTCAAGAAACTCCTTCACCAAAGTCGAGTGGTACTTCATCTAGAAACCTTAAGAGTGAAACCTTCATCAAAAAGACACCAGGTTTTTACCGTATTGTGAACGAAAAGATCGATGCGTTTCTTCGGGTACTCCTGGGCGTGAATCTTCTGCAACTGCTCTTCCAAGAATGGAGTATTCTGCTCGATAAAAACGGCAAGGAACACCCTCGGCATCTCCCCGGCCCTCTTCTTCTCCAAATCTATATGTCCCTCCTTACAACTAACGCACCCCTCCACCGAGTTCCACGAATTCGCCAAATAATTGCCCATTTGGGTCAACGCAACCTTCGACGGCCCATTCCCATGCAAAATCAACGGCTCCGTGTGGTACATCACATTCCTAATCTTGTACTCCTCGGGCCCCTCCTTCCCCTTCACCTCAAACACCTCCACCTCATCTACAACCAAACTCCTGCATTACCCCCACCTCTCTCCCCTCCCTACTTACTGATTGCCCCATTTAAGTTCTGGAACAGCGCGCTCTTGTGGTCTAACTTGAACCCGACTTTCTTCCGCAGCGCCTCGTCCAGGTACGCTTTAGTGAAGAAGAGTTGGTCGTCGTCTTCGTCTTGAATGACGTCGTAGGACAGAACTTCCCAGAGATCGGGCGCGTAACCGACGTACAAGCCCGAGTTGAGGAACCTATTGCCTTCGGTGACTTCCGGATATTGGCGGGCGAGCTCCACATCAGGCCAACACGCGCTTTCGGAACCGAAGAGCACGCGAGCGTCGAAGGATTTGAATTTGTTCAGGATGGCGTCGAGTTTGTCTAAGAAGATGACGTCGTAGGCGTCCGTGAAAAGGACGATTTTGGTTTTGTCATGGCGGTGAGGCTCGAGAGCTTCTTTGAGAAGGTTGACTTTCCAGCCGCCGCCGGGGTGGTTCCTAATGTCATGGCCGCCTTTCCACTCTTGGCCGAAGCCGAGGAGGGTGGGGGAGATGTGGTAGGTTTGGGCCGAGTGGAGGTAGCGGCTGAGACCGTCGGTGGGGTGGCTGGCGACGGTGAAGACTAGAATATCTGGAAAAGAAGAAGTGGCGGCGGTTTTATTGTAGACTCGAGAAAGGGTTCAACTTGTAACAAAAATATTCAGCTATAGGACAAGAAAGAATGAAGAAAGAAAAATTGTGAAGGAAGTGAGAAGGAACGATAGAGTAAACGTTAAAAAAGCATTCATTAAAAAGATTCTACTGTCATAGTTCCTTAAATTAAATCATTGTTACTAACGAAATATAACTAATATTAAGTATCTAATAAACCGCCAATAGGCGACAAACAGATGGCAATGAAACATAAGTCATCTCAAATTCTAAACCTTGCCAACAAGGCAATTGCTGAAATTCAGCCAACTGCGATTCGATTTTAACGACGTTCAATACTTCGGAACCGTCGATTGCGAACCCTATTAATCATTTTCGGTAAATTAAGAAAAAAAACCACAACGACTACTACCACGTAGGAATAATAATAAGAATGATACAATTCAATTCCCCATTAAAACGATCTATTTAAGCAACATACCGAGCACATCTGTTAAATAATTTAACCCGGCCGACTACGAACACACAGTTTTTTTCACAAAGCCTCCGGAAATCTCTTGCCCAGCAACAAAATCGGCCTCATTCCCAAAATGCGATTATTTTTATCGCTTCTTCGCAACTTTATCACATTTCCGCGTATTCTTCAGTAATTATCCCGGAAATAGGTCGATGACATAATGTAAACAAATAAGATTTGATGCGTACGTGACCTGATCGAACTGCCACGAACGGCACCACTTAATTAAGCCAAAAAGAAATGCGGAATAAAAAAATGTACTGTTACATTTACCCTTCGTTCCAGATTTGTTTATAAAAAAATTGGGTTATGTTCAACTTACCGTTATTTGTTTCACTAATAGCACCCGAAATTAAAGCAAACAGTAAAGCCAGCGTTACGTAAGGAAACATTTTTTTTATAGTACGTCTTGCAGTCGAATTTTTTTAAAATTACGTCAATTTGTATTTACAAGAGCAAAAACTTAACCCACCACCTTCGTCTTTTATATGGCACTGTGAGTTATGTTGGTAGCCGTACTGTGGTTGTACGTCTACGCCGTAGGGGCGTGACCAACGTGACGCAACAAAAATTTGAAAAAGCGGCGCCTATTTTACAATTACCTGGTTTTTCGACATCTGTGGCGTTTTCGTTTAGAATTTTGGTATAAGCGTTATGGGGGACATTTTCGCATGTTTGTGCGTCAATATTGCATTGGTCAAGCTCTCCTAAAAAAAAAAAAAATTATGAATATGTTTAGCGTGAGGATAAGTTTTACCTGTTGCCAATGTTGATAGCGTTAGAAGTGTTACGACCTGTGTCAACATCTTGGCGGTCTCTGAACAAATAACGATTTCTGCGGTCTGTAAATGGTAAAAGTGACTAATTCGCAAAGCCACCGGACCAAGAAATTGTACAATAAAAGCCAATTTCCACAGTTACCGAGAAAACTAACAGAATCGCTTTTTTCTTATCTCCGCTGAAAAACAGTTACGATTGCAGAAGCGAAACATATGTATATGAAACAGAACAAAATTTCTGCCGCAAAATGTACATATCTTTACTGTTCTTTATCGCTGTTCGCGCCAACATTATCTAATAAATCGTACGTAACGATTTTTACGCGCAATCATGCGAATAAAATTCTATCGATCGATGAAAGTAACTTTTTTTCAATTTCTCCGAATCTGCACATTTCCCTTCCCTCCCCTGCCGTCACTAATCTAATAATAATTTTCGAAAATCCATGAACTTTGCGAACAAAATCAATAAGTGGGTTAAAATAACACATGTAGGGTATCGCACGTTTATAAAACCAACTTATTGAATTAAAACTAATTAGATTACATGGTTGGCTTCTGGTCACTTCCCAGTTGCCAAGATACTCTCAGGTGGTGTGAAAGAGTGGTGAGGTGCAGCAATGGCGCCCAAGAACGACCCCGAACTTGCGACTTTGCGCAAAGAACTGGAGGAATTGTACAACACCCTGAAGGTAAACGGAATATTGGTTTTGTTTCTGGATTTGTTTCGACTAGAGTTCTACGAAGAGTTAAAGAATTGTTTTTCACCTATTTAATAATGTTTATGACGACAGGATATTTAGCCTGCAACAGTAAATTCATTTTTAAATTGTTTATTTCTGGTTAGATCATTTAACAGTTGATACTGTTCTAATTGGAGTTACGTGATCTTAAATTTTTTATTTTGTTTTTGCATCCTTCTGTCATCTCACTTTTTACTCTTGTCTTTATTCAGTTATATTTTGATTATAGAAATAATAAAAATAGTGTAAAATAAAAGCATTACATCTTATTTTAACACCCAGAAATCTGGGCTCTGTTGGTAAATTCTGGGTAACTTTTGATGGCGTAGCATTTTCTGACAATCTATTTTTGTTTTTTGCAGGAAGAGCAGAAGAAGCAGCAAGACACGACCCTGGAATCGGCATGCGGCGGCGTGGCCGACGCCCCCCGAGTCAAAATCACCACAAAGAAACTAATGAAGGGGCACCTGAACAAAGTCAATTCTGTCCACTATAGTGGAGACAGCCGCCACTGCGTCACCGGCTCCCTGGACGGCAAGCTCATCATCTGGGACACCTACACCGGGAACAAAATGCAGATCATTCCGTTGCGGTCTGCATGGGTGATGAGCGTCGCGTACGCCCAATCCGGGAATTTTGTTGGTACTTAATTTTTCGCTTTGATGAAAAAATTAAAAAAAACAGAGATGGGTTTCAGCCTGCGGCGGCATGGACAACATGTGTACCATCTACGACCTGAATCACCGGGACGCGTCGGGGGTGGCGAAGATGGTACGCGAACTGGCTGGGTACGACGGGTTCTTGAGCTCTTGCAGGTTTCTGGGAGACAGGAACATCATCACGGGCTCGGGGGACATGAAGATGTGAGTAGGGTGGTTCAGACATTGGTGTTTGTACCACGTTTGTTTTTAGATGTAAATGGGACTTGGAAACTGGACGAAAAACGTCTGACTTTACCGCCCACAATGGTGACGTGGTCTCCATCAGTTTGTCACCTGATGGAAACAGCTTCATCACGGGAAGCGTCGACAAGACTTGCAGACTTTGGGACATGCGAGAGGACAAACCAAGACAGACCTTCTTCGGTCACGAATCTGACGTCAATTCAGTTTGCGTAAGTCAAAAAACAACAAACCACAATTTTATTGAAAACTTCTAAACTACAAAATCCACAAATCGAAAATTTGGCGCAAAAACAGTCAAAATAGGTTGTACATCAGCAATCAATCCATCAACTCCATTTACACTATGTCGACTAGGTTATTTCCCCCTGGACTCCCAAAACTTGCCAAAACTAGCAGCTGATGTACGACTTCTTAGGCACATGATAAAGCACTTTTTCGCCCGATTGGTTGCAGTTCCACCCCAGCGGTTACGCTTTCGCTACCGGTTCCGAGGACAAATCCGCTCGAATGTTCGACATCCGCAGCGACCAGGAGATCGCGCTCTTCAAGCCGCCGTCGGCCAGCAGCGGTTTCACTTCTTGCGGTTTGTCCCTCAGCGGCCGAATTTTGCTGTGCGGCTCGGACGACAACAACGTCCACATGTGGGACACGCTGAAGAACCAGCATAACGGGACGTTGTCTGGGCACGAGAACAGGGTCACTTCGCTGTCGGTGGCCCAGAGCGGGATCGCCGTGGTTACGGCCAGCTGGGACCAGAACGTGAGGGTTTGGGGTTAAGTTTACATGTATAATGAGAAAATATAATCTTCCGAGTAGCAGTCTTGGTTTGTTGCTTAGTGGCGGGGGTGGGACAGGCGGCCGTAGAAGAGAATGCTGGAGGCGTCGGCGTCTTTGCCGTGGGCGGCGAGCAGCATGAACACGGCGGGGTGGTCCACTTTGAACGTGACGGGCTGGGACTTGGTGGGGGCGCAGCCGAGCACCATAGCTGCTCCTGGAAAAAAAGTGATTTTAAAAGTTTCAGTTTTTTTTATTTCTGTCATTCCTTCATAACACTGGCCGCTTTTTATACAGGGTGTCCCAACATCTACTCTAAACTAGTGAACAAAGTCTTTGTTATAATATAACACAACTTATTTAGACTACCATTTACTCGCTAGACCGTTAGGACACCCTATTATATGCACCAGGTGTGCAAAAAATGCATGCTATAATTAAAAAAATCTAAATAATTACTTGTGGCTGCTGCCGCGACTGTCCCTCCTTCATTCACTTCTATGAACGCCTTCTGGACCACATCGCTCACAAAAATATTATCTTTAAGACTCGTGGTATCAAAGATGCCCTTAAAATTCGCCTCTTTGATGTCAAAAATGGACTTTAAACCCATCTGAAACAAAAAATAAGCAGTCCCATTAACCCCCAACCTTCCCACTTACTTCAGACAACACATTATTCAGCTCAATCGTCTCCTCCATCTTGAATTTTGGTAAATAGAGATGGACATCCGTCAATTTGGAATTTTTTCCAAGTTTACCAAAATCAGTTTTGGCCAATTTGGCTTCCAGCTTCTCTATATCGTTCTCCGTGGGCAAAATCACCATCATCTTCACATCGAACCCTTTATATGGTATTTCTATGATTTGAGCGTCCAGTTCCTCGTCTTGCACGTACCAGTAGTTCCCCTTCTGGTGCATCATTTTCACCCCAACCGAGTTCTTCTCCTCCACGAAAAACTCATCGTCTTTGGTAAAATTCTCTTTAAATTTCGACACCCATTCCCCCTTGAAGAAGATCGCGTTGACCACCAAAAGACTCAAATTCTTCTTAAACATCGCTTCGTTCACGATACTCTTGATGTTCTTCTGCGTCTTCTCCGCCACCCAGTCGTTCACGCTCTTCGCCGCCTTCGCCGCATCTTCCACCTTCAACTCCTCGAACTCTCCTTTGAAACTCTCCTCGATCCCTTTCGCGAACTCGCTCCGCACCTTCGCCTCTCCCTCGACTCCGTAGATTTTGTTGGCCGTCAACAGCGTGACCTGCTTAAACGCATTCAAGCGTTTTGTTACGGCCCTGTATCCTTCCGCTGTTGATTTAGCGTCCGGGTTGTTCAAGGTGTGCGCTAACACTTGCGCCGTGTCTCCTTGTGCGCCTTGGTGCAACATGGAAAGAACCGCATGGATGCTGATGGGCGAGAAGAAAACGTTACCTTTTTTGCGCGCCAGAATTGCGTAAAGGTTTTTGGTGAAAGCGGCGTTGGCTTGCAGGATCTGGTTTTCTGGGTTCATCTCGACGTGGTTATTGATTCGGCCGGTTTTGGAAGCAGGAAAGTCGGAAGACTCGACGGAACTGAATTGTTGATTGCGGTTTTATTTTTTGCGCAATCGCAGCTTTGGGGGAAATGTTGCGGTTGTTGATTCAAGGTTTTGTTAATTAGGAGTCGTATTTTAGAATGATGTGTTTATGGAGGTGTGTGTACCTTTGTTAATTTAATTTGGGGGATTTTTATGTCAGAGAATGGGTGTGGGAATGCGGCCCGAGAATTGGGTCAAAATGGGCGGAAAAGTTTTACAAGGAGTCGGTGACTCATTGATTGAAAGTTATTAATTGTTGGTTGGGTACTGGAATGGATGACACACTTTGCACGTGACAACTGATGTTAGCTGAAGGATATCTGAGTTGAATCCAAAATGATGGTTATATTTGGGGGCTAAACTTTATGGCCGTTTCTTTTTTTATTCAATTAGTAATTATAATATTTGAAATAACAGTTAAATTTTAAAAATTTTCAAAGTTTTGTCACCTTATATCTTACAACTGAATAAATATAATTAATGGTAGTTATGCAACCATATATACACCAAGCCATCGATGTCAACTACCTATGTACTAATGAATTAATTTACTCATGTTTTGGAGGACAAAATATGCCCACAATTTCAAATATTTCCAAATAATTCCAACAACGACTGCAACGTTTTGAAGAAGGTAAGAAGACACATGAGATGACTTTGAAGTGGTTTCGTTATTTTAGATGGATTTTGGGCGGATTTTGACAAAGAGAAGGCAGGCTTTTCGGGGATAACACCCAAGACGTTCCATACCGGGCATTTTTGTGTTGGTAAAATTAACCAGAGGGTCTTTATTGATATCAACGAGGTGTTGTAGGTGAGATGAGGCAGAACTGGAGTTTGTTGTTGACTATCCGGACATCTTCATATTGGAACGGAGCTTTGGAGAAAGCATGAATATTTTGTTTTAGGGGAAACTTTCACACCTTCAGTATTAACTTTCTGTGTATTATACTTTACAATGTCTTATTTGTAAAAAACGATGTATATTAAAAAGTTTATTTCAAAATGTTCGAATTGCATTTTTAGTATCGCGGATGAGACAGCCTTCCACAAAATAAGACGTTAATGGCACCCTCCACATCAACAACTAGTAAAAACAGAGCAGGGTGATCAACAACGAAATCCACAGGTTCGTCCACCCATTTACCAGACTTTTTGGTTATTTTCATAACTACAAAAACCGATTAACGGTTGTCGGAACAAGTTACCAAGTACCTGAAACAGCTGCAGCTTCTACTCCCACTTCGTTCAAGTCTATGAAAGCTTTTTGGAGAACTTTTGCAACACATAATTCCTTACAAGTCTTTGACATTCCACTAAAATCAGCTTTCTGGCTGAATATATTCTCAAGTCCCATCTGCAATCAAAGTGCACTTTTTTCTTCGCATTGTTAAACACTCACCTGACTCAGAGCTTCGCCCAAATCCACGGTAATCTCCATCTTGAATTTCGGCAGTGAAAGAATTACGGACTCGAGAGTTAAATTTTCTACTAGTCGAGTAAAACCAAGATGACTTAATTTTTTTTCTAAAGATCTAATCCCGTTTCTTTCTTTTGGTAACACGACGACCATCCGCGCATTTGTGTTTTTGAACGGAAGAAGTACAATCTGTGCGTCCAGCTCTTCGTCATACTTATACAACCTGTCGTCCATTTTGTTCATCATCTCCACGTCCACTGAATTCTCTTCGTCGACGAAAAACTTCTCAGTGGTTGTACGTCCAGCAAGAAACTTGGTGCACCACGCACCTTTAAAATAAATAGCATTTATCAAAATCATCTTCGTGTCATCAGTTATAAAGTCTGGAGTAACAATATTTTTGATCTTTTCAGCGGTCTGCTTCTCCACCCACTGGTTGATATCCTTCACAACTTTATTCTTTTCCCGAAAATCTACACACTCCACTTCTGACGAAAAATATTCTTGAACGCTTCCAACGAAATTGTCTTCCAACTCTTCGTCTTTCTTGAAGTATATTTTGAAAGCTAAGTACACGAGGATGTCCACGAGCGACTTTAGACTTTCGGTGATGGCTCGGTAACCCACCGCTGTAACTTCAGCTTCTGGAATTTGAAGGACTTCTTCAATCACTTTTGCTGTCTCTTCTCTGGCTCCTTGGTGAGCCATGGAGATGACGGCGTGGACACTCAGCGGCGAAAAAAAGAGGTTTCCGCGTTCTTTGGCTAAGATTTGATACAACCGATTCGCGAAAGCTGCGTTTCCGTGAAGAACGACGCTTTGAGCTTTTGAAGGTTTTTCGTCGGCCATTTTGTCACTAAACTTCAATCTTGGTGGGTTAAAAGAAGCACGGTTTAGATACAAATGTATCCAAAGGAACTCAAATTGGTTACCACAATAAATAAGTTATAAATACAGACAAGGCGTGAGGCAATTTCACAGAGAGTATGCGCAAGTGATGCTTTTAAAATAATACTCAAAAAGTGTTTTTTGCTACTGCAACTATCTAACGCATTTTTTGTGATGGCACCAATTCTAAAAAAAAATCGTTTGTGTCCATGTCTGAATCCGCATTTTTAGCTAATTTTAATTTTCAGCATCGTGTGCAAATTATATAGCATCATATGTAAGGAGAAAATACGAATATTTTGTTTACTATCGTTAACAAATGAGTATTAACAATTTTTTATAAAACTATTCTAATTACATCCAGCAAAACATTTTTAGTAACACGGATGAGACAGTCGTCCACAAAATAGGATATTCATGATTCCTTTGACATCAGCAACTAGTAGAAACAGAGCCGGGTGATCAACAACGAAATCCACAGGTCCTTCTTGGTGCCAACCAGCCTTTTTGCTCATCTTCCCAACTACAAAAACCGATTAATTCTTGTCGAAACAAGCCATCTCGAACCTGAAACGGCTGCAGCTTCTGCTCCCCATTCGTTCAGATCTATGAAAGCTTTCTGAAAGACTTGTGTAACATATAATTCCGTACTACCAGTTTTTAACATCCCACTAAAATTCGCTTCCTGGCTGAATATGTTTTCAAGTCCCATCTGCAATCGAAATGCACATTATTTTTCGTGTTGCTATAAAACACTCACCTGTTTGAGTGTTTCGCTCAAATCTACGGTAGACTCCATTTTGAATTTCGGCATTGAAATAATTAATTGCTGGCTAGCTAAATTTTCTACTAGTCCTGTGAAACCAACATCACTTAATTTCCTTTCCAAAGATTTAATCCCGTTTCTATCTTTTGGTAACACGATGACCATTCGCACATTCACGCCTTGGAACAGGAACAGTGCAATCTGCGCCTCCAGCTCTTCATCGTACTTGTACAACCTATCGTCGATTTTATGCATCATCTGTACATCCACCGAATTCGTTTCATCCACAAAAAACTTCTCAGTTTTTGTAAGTTTTTCAGAAAACGGGAAAAACCATCTACCCTTAAAATATATAGAATTTATCAAAAGCATCATCGTGCCACCAGTTATGAAATCTGGAGTGAGAATATTTTTTATTTTCTCGTTGGTTTGTTTCTCCACCCACTGGTTAATGTCCTTCACGACTTGATACTTGTCCCGAAAATCTACACACTCGACTTCCGACGAAAAATGTTTCTGAATGTTTTCGACGAATGTGTCTTCCAATTCTAGACCTTTCTTGACGTAGATTTTGAAAGCCAAGTACACAAGGACGGCCATGAGCGACTTTAACTGTTCAGTGATGGCTCGGTAACCCTCCGCTGTAGCTTCGGCGTCTGGAATTTGAAGAACTTCTTCAATAGCTTTTGCTGTTTCTTCTCTTGCTCCTTGGTGAGCCATGGAGACGACGGCGTGGATACTCAGCGGCGAAAAAAAGAGGTTACCGGGTTCTTTAGCCAATATTTGATACAGCCGGTTCGTGAAAGCTGCGTTTCCTTGTAGAACAAGGTTCTGAACTTGTGGAGTTTGTGTATCCGCCATTCGTATATTATAAGAAGCACGGTTTAAAAGCAAATTTACCCAAAGAGACTGATCGTACTTAGCACAAGAAACAAAATATAAATATAGAGAAGGCGTGAGGTAATTTCAAACGGAGAATGCGCAAATGATGATCTTAAAATAGCAATCGAGAGTGTTTTTTGCCACTGCAAATATCTAACGCATTTCCCGTGATAACACCAGTTCTGAGAAAATAGTTTGTATGCATGTCTGAATCCGCATTTTTTTAACTAGTTTTAAGCTTCAACATCGTGTGCAAATTATACAATGTCTACCGTATCAACTCCTGCACCGGCGACACAAATCCTGCAATCAAGTATAACCTTCACCAGTAAACTTTACCAAATTTTAGCAAAGAAGCATGGGAATGTGTTCTTTTCGCCGATTAGCTTACATGCTGCCCTGGCAATGGTGTATATAGGAGCCCAAGAAGCAACAGCGACAATTTTAGAAGAAGTTCTTCAGTTTCCAGGAAAGGCATCTACAGCGTCGGGTTATAGATGGATTTTAAACCACTTGAGAACTACTAACGAAGTGAATTTGCACATTGTCAATAAAATGAATACCAGAGGAAAACAAATCTTTCTTGAAGAATTTAGCAAAAGTATGCAACAATATTTTGGTTCAGAGGTGGTAAATTTGGGTTTTAGAAGTAACAGTGAAGTGGTGAAACAAATCAACGAATGGGAAAAGCTTATTGACAAGGAAGTGTTGAACGAAAATACAGTTTTGTTTGTGTTAAGTACTTTTTATTTTAAAGCACCGTGGAATCACAGCTTTAAGGAAGATGAAACTGTGCTTCATCCCTTTTATCTGGATAATGACGAAGTAGTGGAAGTACAAATGATGCGAGGAGGAAAGCGCGGGTTTTATAAAGACGACGTCAAACTAAAATGTCAGATACTGTTTATACCCTACAAGGAACGATGGATCGAAATGGGAATTATCCTGCCTTGGGAAAAAAACGGGATTAAAGACCTGGAAGCTAAACTAGCAACTGTTAATTTTGCCGACGTAATTGTAAAAAATTTAACAGAAGAAAACCTGGATATCTCCTTGCCTAAATTTAAGTTTGAATATTCTTCTGATTTGGTCGACTCTTTCAAAGAAGTGAGTTAATTTTTCCGTTTGTCGCATTAACAACAGAGAATTTTAGATGGGTCTCGAGATCCTTTTTGACAAGAAAGCTAACTTAGACGGAGTTATTAAAACTGAAAATGGAGTGTCGTTATCAGTGGTCCATAAATGTTTCACTGAAGTCACCGAAGAAGGGATGGAAGCAGAAGAAATTAAAGGTAAAGCAGAAGGCACAACTTTCAACAAAGTAAAAAATATTACTTTTAGCGAGGTCAATCAAAAAGGGAAAATGTCGCGTAATAATACCTTTAACTGCTTTCGTGGTAGATCATCCTGCCATCTTCGTCCTTGTAGAAGGCAGAACTGAAAATATGAACATATTATACTGCGGAAGACTTTCTAACCCAAGTAGTGAGTCTGAAAAATTTCCACAATGAATAATGTAGATTTTTCATCGTGCAAAACAGTACGCAAAAATAAACGCAGTTAGTAATGGGAAAATGTTTTACTTAACTTTTGGACGAAATCCATCAGAATTTAGTTTCACTTTCGTGCATTTTTATCGGATGCTTGGAACATCTTAAATAACCTTCAACACCGAGCGTGCGCGAACACACATTACCGAAACTTCAGTTGCTTTACTTATCGTTTATTTCGTGTCGAAATGTCCAGCGGATTGACTCCTGCTGCGGCGCCACAAATCCTGCAAAGCAACACCGCCTTCACCGGAAAACTCTACAAAGTTTTATCAAAGAAACCCGGAAATGTGTTCTTTTCACCGTTCAGTGTTCACATTGCTCTAGCTATGTTGCATCAAGGTGCACGAAAAGACACAGCAAAAATTTTGGGAGAAGTTCTTGAAATTCCAGACGCCGAATCTGCAGCCGAGGGTTACAAATGGATCATAGATCAGTTGAAAAGTGTCCAAAGTGTTACTCTGCGTATTGCGAACAAAATCCACGTCAAACAGGACGAGGAGTTCATAGAAGAGTTTCAAAAGAGCGTTTGGAACAATTTCGATTCAGACCTGGAATCTCTGGATTTTGCGAACAGAAGGGAAACCGCAAAGAGTATTAATGACTGGGTGGAGGTAAAAACTTCTGGAAAAATAACAAACGTTGTCAATGAGAGTTCGATAAATTCAAATACAGCGCTATTTTTGCTGAACGCGATTTACTTTAAAGGGAACTGGTTAAACAAATTTACAAAAACTCTAACTGGAACTGAACCTTTCTATCTCGATGATCAACAAATAATACAAGTAGAAATGATGAAAGGGACCAAAAGGGTTTGGTACAAATTCGACAATGAATTAAATGCCACCATAATTCGTTTGCCATATAAAGGAAACGAAATCGAAATGGTGATATTTCTTCCAAAAGAGAGAAACGGAATTATAAACTTGGAAGACAAATTGTGGACTGTGGACGTTGATGATGTTATTAATAAAAATTTGCGCGGGGTAGAGGCAAATTTGTGGTTGCCCAAATTCAAATTCTCTACTTCTATGGATTTAGTGAGTCCTTTACACCAGGTATGGTGACGGTTTTGTCCTTATGTTTACTTGACTAACAATTGTTACAGATGGGACTCGACATAATCTTTGACAAGGAGAAGGTCGATTTTACAGGCATGCTTGTACCAAAATGTGAACGGTTATCTGTCGATAAAGTACTTCAGAAGGCATTCATCGATGTTAACGAAGAAGGGTCAGAAGCCGCTGCTGTTACAGGTAAAAATGAAATAACAACTTTTTGATTTTCTGTAATAGTGATATGTTGTAGTTGTCAGCATGATAAGGACAAAGTGTAATAGAAAGGTGCGTGTTATTGATATTGTTGTAGATCATCCTGCCATTTTCATGCTTGTAAAACGTGGAACGGAAGACGTCAACATACTTTTTTGTGGAAGACTTTACCATCCAGAGTATTTTTAAGTTGAAGATTGAGGTTGAAAAGCTAGATTTGGGCAAAAAACTTGACTGGCGACAATTTATGAAAGAGACACTATTAATACGTCTTTCTGTCAAAGAGTAATAAGAAAAGAGGTTATCGAATTTTTTGTACCTAATTCCTCTCGTTACATAACCGCTGAAAATAAATTATAATTTTCGATTAACTATAAAATACATTTTGTTATTTCACCTGAAACTTCCTTAACAAACTTTTAGGTTTTCTCTCCAGTATCTGTAGATCCCTGAAATCATAAGAGTATATTTTTTGCCATGACATGAACTTAATTCTAAATCTGACACGATCTAAATGCAAAAGATTTAGAAGTTCTGAACAGAGCTTTGTAATATTTGATCATACCTAATAACAACAGATGCCGTTACTGTTGCGTTGGCAAAAATCCTGCTATTGATAATAAAATTTACGTACGCTTGGCAAGTTCTAAAGTGAATCATCTTACTGAATTTTTCTCGGGAAAGATAGTGAAACCTACTCATTCTAAAACTTGTTTTTGTAAGTTTCACTTTCCTCCATATTCATCGGCTTCTTAGAATAAGTATATAAAATAAACTCCACCACTAAGTGTGCGCTAACTGCGAAGATTTTTCGACCACACCGATTATTTAAGCTTCAGTTGCTTCACTTAGCGCTTGAATTGTGCGTTTTTCCATCGGCATGTCCAACACATCGATTCCTGCCGCGGTGCGACAGATCGTGCAAGGAAATTCCGCCTTCACGCTCAAACTCTACAAAATTTTATCAAAACAACCCGGAAATGTGTTTTTTTCACCGTTCAGTGTCCACACTGCACTCGCTATGTTGCACCAAGGCGCCAGACAAGACACGGCAACCATTCTTGGGAAAGTTCTTCAAATTCCGGAGGCCGAATCTACAGCCGAAGGTTACAAGTGGATAATAAATCAGTTGAAAAGCATCCAAAGTGTTATTCTGCGTATTGCGAACAAAATCTACGTGAAAGACGATGAAGAATTCGTGAAGGAGTTTCAAAATACCGTTAAAGAATATTTCTATTCGGATCTAGAATCTTTCAATTATGGGAACAGGCGCGAAACAGTGCATAGTATTAATGAATGGGTGGAGGAACAAACTTCTGGAAAAATAAGAAAAGTTGTCAGTGAGAGTTCAATAACAAAAGACACGTCGTTGTTTTTGGTGAACGCGATTTATTTTAAAGGAGACTGGCTGGATAAATTTACGAAAAGCCGAACCACGAAGGAACCTTTCTATCTCGATGATCAACAAATGATACAAGTGGAAATGATGAATGGGACCAAAAAGGTTTCTTACAAATTCGACGATAAATTAAACGCCGGTATTCTTCGTCTGGCATATAAACGAAGAGAAATCCAAATGGTAATAATTCTTCCAAAAGAAAGAAATGGAATTAAAGATTTAGAAGACAAATTATGGAATGTAGATTTTGCTGATGTTATTAATAAAGATCTATGTGGAGTGAAAGCAAATTTGTCGTTGCCCAAATTTAAGTTTTCTACTTCTATGGATTTAGAAGGTCCTTTGAAAGAGGTACGTTGATGTTTGTGTTCTTGTCTTCACTTAACGAACGACTGTTACAGATGGGACTCGATATAATCTTTAACAAAGAAAAAGCCGATTTTAAAGGCATGCTTGTACCAAAATGTGAACGATCATTATCTGTCGATAAAATATTTCAAAAGGCATATATCGACGTTAATGAAGAAGGGTCAGAAGCAGCTGCTGTTACGGGTAAAATTCAAAGAACGACTTTCTAAATCTCTAATTGCGATATGTTATAGTAGTGAGAGTAATGATGGGGGAATGTGCCAGGAAAGAGCGCATTATTGATTTTGTTGTCGATCATCCTGCCATTTTCATGCTTGTGCAAAGTGGAACGCAAGACCTCAACATACTTTTCTGTGGAAGACTGTACCAACTGAAGTATCATTAACTATAACTTAAGTGTATTTTAGAAAGACTGTAATATCCAGCGTATTTTTATGTTCATTCTGCTCAGCATTGGAACGTTATAAATACGAAAATATGACATAAAAATTTAAGCAAGTCAAACATGTGCATTTTCTCCAGAGTGCGTCGACTTGCAGTGATTGTATTAACAGCTGCAATGAAACTCAAAGTCAGCGATAAAGGTGTAATTAGAAATAAATAATTTTTGGTGAAAAAACGTGAAAGTGTTTCCTTCTCCCCAAATAGTCTGCCAAAATTTAATTTTCATTAACGTTTCTATTATAACAGAAACAAAAAAAATTAAATATAAAGCTCCAAACCCAACAAATATTATTGTCAGCGAGGTCAGTCAAAAAAAGAAAGTTTCCCGTGGTTCTAAAAAAAATATTACTTTCAGCAAACTCATTCAAAAAGGGAAAATACTGCGTAGTAATGCCTTTAAGACCTGATTTCGTGTTCTGTCATCTTCGTTTTTGTAGAAGGCAGACTAAATTTTGTTTTCGCAATTTTCATTTTCTAGCATTTTTATCAGTTCTTCAACAAATGTAAAATCACCTTCAACACAGTGTGCGCGAGCCGAAAAATTTTTCTTACAACGCAGTTCAACATTAACTCACACTCCTCACTCATTATATGTGATTTCATCGCAATGTCGAGCGCATTGATTCCTGCTACGACGCCACCAATCCTGCTACGACACCACCAATCCTGCAAGACAACATTGCATTCACCGCCAAAATCTATTCAAGTATTATTAAATTTTACGGTGTATTCTAGAAGTATTGCTTATGGTAAGCACTTTAAAAAAATACTGTTTTAATATTTCTGTAGATGTATTTTCTAAGAAACAAAAATTACACCATACTGTGTAATGCAGTTATTTGCTTCCAACTAATTCGTCTATTAATATCTTAGTATAAATAGTCGCAGTGAAACCGAAATTTTTGCAGATTTAGACAGTGCGAAAAACTTAGCACTGTTCCCAGCAGTGTTGGAACGATCTAAATTCAGTGCATTGGAAGAAATACCACCGTCCAGACAAGTCCTCCAAGGGAACGCCGCCTTCGCCAACAAAATCTACCAAATCTTAGCCCAAAAACCCGGAAATGTTTTCTTCTCGCCAATCAGTCTTCACGTAGTCCTCGCCATGGCATACCAAGGCGCCAGAAACGAAACCGCAGAACTACTAGCAAAAGTACTCCAAATTCCAGATGCACAGTCAACTGCAGAAGGTTACAAGAAGATAATCAATCGCTTGCGCAATATTCAAAAGGTGATTTTGTGCATGGCTTTCAAAATATACGTCCACAAAGGAAGGCAATTTGTAAGCGAGTTTGAAAATATCGTCAAAGAATATTTTAATTCCGAAATACAAGCTTTAGATTTTGATAAAAAAGCTCGAACCGTGAAAACGATAAACAACTGGGTCGCCCAGAAAACCCGACAGAAAATCAAAGAGATCGTCAACGTAGGAAGCATCCAAGTTACCACGTCGCTTTTTTTGGTCAACGCGCTTTACTTCAAAGCAGACTGGACGTCGAAATTCAGCGAGAACAAAACCAGAGATGAAGATTTTTATCTCGAGGATGGGTCTATAGTGAAGGTACAAATGATGAAAGACATGAACGAAGACATGCTTTATAAGTTTGATGAAGATTTAGGCGCTCAAATTCTTTGTTTGCCTTATAGTAGTGGAAGAGTGCGGATGGTCATAGTTCTTCCGAAGGAGAGAGGCGGAATTAGAAACTTGGAAACTAAGCTGGCTGCAACAAACCTTACACAGATTACCTCAGATATGCAGGAGGTGAAAGTTGATCTCAGTTTGCCAAAATTCAAATTTGAGACCACCATTCAGTTCGATGAGCTTGTTAGAATGGTATGGTATGACTTTGTAGCTGTAACATAGAATAAGAACTTTTTGTAGATGGGTCTCGGACTGATTTTTGATCGAGATGGGGCTGACTTTAAGGAAATACTTCAACTGAGATGCGACGAGAATTTATACGTTGGTAAAATTTTGCAGAAGGCTTTCATCGACGTCAACGAAAAGGGATCAGAAGCAGCCGCTGCTACGGGTAGTAAATTTATTTATTGCGAATATTAATTAATAATAATAATTGGTTTCAGTCGTTGATATGGCAGTAGCAGTATGTTTTCGTGAAATGAAGAAAATTATAGTCACTTTTACTGTAGACCATGCAGCTATTTTCATGCTGACTGAAGGCCAAAGTGAAGATACAACCATATTATTTTGTGGAAGACTTTCCCATCCGAAATATCAATGAGAAAAAAATAAAACAGTTTTTCTTTATCGTATTTTAAATAATCTACCGTCATTTGATCTAAAATTTTATTTCCAAAAAAAGCGTCTTCTAGTTATTAAATAGATGATGAAAACTGAGAATGCGCAAACATTCAATCTATAAAAATAGCACACACATTGGCAATGCACTTTAGTCGTTGTTTACACCGCAACACTGTAATGTCACAATCAGCAACACAAATTCTGCACGGAAATGCAGTCTTCACCAACAAACTCTACCAAATTTTGGCCCGAAAACCCGGAAACGTCTTCCTTTCCCCATTCAGTTTACACGCAGTTCTTGCAATGCTGTACCAGAGTGCCCAGGGCGAAACAGTTGAAATTCTAAAAAACGTCCTCGAACTTCCCGACGCCAAAGCAACAGCAGAAGCGTACAAATGGCTTTTGGACAACCTGAAGACCATCGAAAACCTGATTTTGCACATCGCAAACAAGATCTACGTCAAACGGAACGAAGAGTTCCTGGAGGAGTTTGAAGCCTGCGTCCGTGAGTATTTTTACTCGGAATTGGAAGCTCTGGATTTTGGGGATAAAGCGGCAGCTGTGGCAAAATTAAATGAGTGGGTTGCACACAAAACCTCAAACAAAATAAAGGAAATCGTTCGGGAAGATTTAATAAATGAAGAAACAGCGTTGTTTTTGCTAAATGTTGTTTACTTTAAAGCGAACTGGGAGGAGAAATTTCATGAAAACGACACAAAAGTTGAACCTTTCTACTGCAACGACGGTGAAACAGTGGATGTCCAAATGATGAAAGGCCGAAAAAAGGGTTTGTATAAATACGACGGGGAACTGCAAGCAGAAGTTTTGGATTTGCCATACAAGGGTAAAAGAATTCGTATGGTGATTATTTTGCCAACTGAGAAAAACGGAATTCAGAATTTGGAAGCTAAACTAGCCACACGCAGTCTCATTGAGGTAATAGACGACAACATGTATGAGATAAAAGCGTATCTTTCTTTGCCAAAATTCAAGTTTGAGATGTCTATGGATTTAAATGACATTTTGCATGAGGTAGAACAGTGTTGTTGATGTTTGATGATTTTCTTACAAGGTTGTTGTAGATGGGACTCGAGATCATTTTTGACGACGAAAAAGCCAATTTCTTGAAAATGCTGAAGACAGGTGACAATTTATGCGTCGGTGACGTATTTCAGAAAGCGTACATTGACGTTAATGAAGAAGGATCTGAAGCGGCTGCTGTTACAGGTAGACAGAAATTGGTTATTAGATCAAAATTTATAGAGTGCTGCTTTTAGCTGTCAGAGTTAGAAAAGCAAAAAAGGCCTTCTGCGAAGAAGTTGTTAACTTTGTGGTGGATCACCCCGCTATATTTTTGATTGTGGAGGGAACAGGAGAAAATAGCAACGTGCTGTTTTGTGGAAGACTTTATTGTCCAAAATATTAACGTAAAGTTTACATTGTGACGTATTTTACAAAATTAACTTAAGGCGGTATCACTCGGCCTGGTTTGGGACAGTTTTCATCCCATTTGAAATGTCGTGTAAAAACGAAAGAAATTGACTTAGGACGGTAGTTTTTTTTCTTAACAATCCTTATTAGACATATTTTGTCCCTCTTATATTAAAATTTGATTTTCAGTTCTGTTTTCTGTGTAAAAAAAAAAAAGTAAAAACATGCAAAAATGACGACATTTACATTTACATTGCTGTTACAACGTACACTTTGTAGTCCGAAAAAAATTAAAAAAAGAGGTGTCTACGACGAACCTTTCTTAACAGATTGCATCAATACGCTTTTTAATAAGTGTTACACAATTCATATACATCGTCAGTTAAGTAAACGAAAATACTGGTAGAATTAAAAAAAAATTAGCACAACACATTCAAAATTATTCGAAAGCTATCGGTGTTTAATTTTTGATACTCTATGCAAATTGTTGAATTATAAAAATTGGTTTAAAGTTATTTAGACAGCACTTGAAGTCCGGTATAACATATTCAGTTTTGTCAGATAATTATTGTAAGATTCGATTTAGAGATTTTTTTTGCTGATAACGCAGTAAAGAGATCCATCTGGCGAATGACTAATTTTATGTTTTCTCGACGTCTCTCGATTTTATATCACAATTTTTCGTTTCGTTATTTCCCTTATTTTTTTTATGTTTCTTTCGATTGTCAATTTTTTATTTATTCAATTTTTCAAATTTTCAGGCTTTGATTTTTCAATTCCATGATTTTCCACGTTTAAAATTTTTCAATTTGCAGTTTTTGGATTTCCAGTCTTCCAATTTTTCAATTTCTTTAATTTTCAATATTTTGATTTTACAATACATATTTCTTTCTTTTTATTTTTCACTTTTTCGAATTTCAAGTTTTTCAATTTTTAATCTTTCGATTTTCCAAATTTTCGTTTCTTCAAATTTTCATGTTTGATTTTCACTTTTGACATTTTTCATTTTCTCGATTTTATGTCACAAATTTTCATTTTTTCAATTCCTTTATTTCTTGTTGTTTCTTTCGATTTTTCAATTTTTCATGTTACCGATTTTTATTTTTCAATGTAACGAATTTCTCATTTTTATTTTCTCGATTTATATCACATTGTCCGTTTTTTCATTTCCTTTATTTTCTGTGTTTTTTTTTTCGATTTTATAATTTTTCATTTGTTCAATTTTTCAAATTTTCAGGCTTTGAATTTTCAGTTCGTCCATTTTTCAATTTTTAAATTTTTCACTTTGCAGTTTTTGGATTTCCAGTCTTCCGATTTTCCACTTTCTTTAATATCCAATATTTCTATTTCATAATACATATTTCTTTTTTTCATTTTTCACTTTTTCGATTCTTTAGATTTTTCAAGTTTTCATTTTGAAATTTTCCTTTTTTTATTTTTGATTTTTCAATTTTACAATTTCTCGACTTCCAAAACATTTCGTTCCTTCAGTTTTTCAATTTGGCAATTTTTCAGTATTACAGTTTTTCATTTTTCGATTTTCGAGTTTCTCAATTTTTTATTTTTCCCTTCTCCAATTTTTTTGTTTCCGATTTTTATTTTTCATTTTCCCGATTTTTTAATTTTCTCTTTATCGATTTTATATTTTCGTTTTTTCATTTCCTTTATTTTTTGTTGTCTCTTTCGATTTTACAATTTTTCGTTTATTCAATTTTTCAAATTTTCAGGGTTTTTTCAATTTTTCTTCAAATCTTCAAGTTTGATTTTCACTTTTTACATTTTTCACGTTTTTATTATACACTTTTTCGTTTTTTTTTATTTTTCAATTTTACAATTTGTCGACTTCCAAATTTTCCAATTTTTCAATTTTGCGATATTTCAATTGTCCAATGTTTTAAATTTTAGATTTTTCGATTTCTGAATTTTTTGATTTTCCAATTCTTCAATATTTCTATTTTCCAATTTTTCAAATTTTGAGTTGCTAAATTTTCAGTTTTCCGACATTCAATTAATATTTTTTTTATTTCCCCGTTTCTCGAATTCGCAGTTTCGATTTTTTAGTTCTTCAGTTCTTCGATTTTTGGATTTTTCGACCGGCTAATTTTTAATTTCTCAATTTTGGATATTTGTTTAAGTTTTGGGATTTATCAATATTTCTATTTTTCGACTTTTCGATTTTTAATTTTTTGGATTTTCAGTTTTTCGTTTTTTAAACTTTAGATTTTTCAATTTTTGACTGTTTTATATATATTTCGATTTCCGAATTTTTCGAGTTTTTAGTTCTTGTATATTTTAATTTTTCTTTTTTTGGGAATTTTTTATTTTTCGATTTTTCAATTAATCTATTTTTTTATTTTCCCATTTTCGACTTGTTAAGTATAACAACGTTTTCCTTTTTTCTATGATAAAATGATCAATATCAAAGTACGATGGTTTTATGACCCATGTCCGCTCATCAGGTAGATTTAACGAAGAATTGCTGGTTGCGTTTAGGACAACACAGTAATTGGTCTAGCGACCACCAGATGTCTCTTAGCCGAGTGAAGGTAGCGCTCCCTGCACTTTCCTCGGCATTACTTGTTCCAAGCGTCGCCAGAGGGCCCGCCTCCCTCCTCTGATCCGAGCCTCAGCTTTCATTTCCAGAGGCTAATGCTCCGTAATACAAACGCTCCGATAAAAAGTCCTTCTATTGCCGAGCATTCCAAATCGTTATCCGTTTAATTATTACTCACCGCTTCCCCGCCCACTCTATTTTCGAACCCGCTCGTTATTTTTCTCCGTGTTTTCTTCCGTCGCTCCTCCTCGTAACAACTTGGTCGAATTTCCGACCCAAACATCTGCTCTACCTACGTTTTATTTATAAACATGATCGCGCGTCGTTAGATACATACGTAGAGAAAGTGGACCACGGTCATTTTCACCGTGTTCATCTAAACTTTCTTATTATTGTAGAATCTGTCCGTTCCGAGCCGGTACTCAACAATGTTAGGTGGTCATTCGCCCGGAGTGAACGGTAATCCGCGTCAATTACGGTGGATATGCAGATTAACGAACTGTTCGCACAAATCTCACCCCCGGTATCGATCCGCCCTCGCTCCGCCAGAATTTATGTTTTCACGGGTGTAGGTGGAGCGTTTTATTAATTTAACGGCGCCGACTTCGATCGGGGGTCGGATCCACTCGTCCACTCTTGGTTTCGACGGAGTTCGCAAAGCACCTCCCGATGCTCTTGCACAAGCGGCGATCGTTTTGTAAACGTGACGTTATTTTGCATAAATTTGTCGCACGACGTTTTATCCGTGTTATGTAACTGTTGTATCTTGTTGCGGCCCGAAGGCGTGTCCGCAAGAAGTAGTCGACGCTCGGTGGAAAGAAAACGCAGCGGATTTTCCTGCTGCGTTCTTCCAGCAACTCCGGCCGCTCTGACGCAAGCCTTCCGCGAAGCGCTGTTTATCTCTCGCTCAATTATCGCAGACGCTTCATTTAAGCTAATGACATCATCTCTATAACAATCCCGGAGCTCCGCGTCGGAATTCCGCCCCGCCATCAACAAGTGTCAGATTCAGCAGGAGCAGCAGGAATCCGCTCCGGAGAATCGGATGCGTGCGAAGCCCACTTTGTTTACCCGGCGTGGGCGTATCGAAATCCGTCTCTGGCGTAGAGGTACCGTTTTACTCCGCCGCGTAGAAATAAGGCGAGTCCAAGTCACGACTTGAACTCGAGACTTTCATACAATAACCAACCTGCAGCGTATTAGAAAGATAAACGACCTTACAACACACTTGCCGCGGTCATCGGGCACGAAAATGCGCGACGACTTGCACGGGATCGATTAGGGCCAGGGCTGAAGTTGCGACACTTTTATTGCATGGAAGCGCCGCGGCAGTACCGAGGTACTAATTACGGTTATCGCTACAAAAACATGCTCTTATTTGTACGGCCGGCGCTTGCGAAAGCGGCGGCGAACGCGCACACCCCGTGGTGGCTAACGCGTAATCGCGCTGTTTACAAACAAACCAAAAGTGTAAACAGCCGGCTAATTTTGGCCCATTCATCCGGCGACTGCGATTCACGGATTTCGTGAGCCGCGATTTCGGAGGCGGGACGCAAAACCGACTTTTAAACGCCCGGCGTTGGAGCGGCACGACGGAACGTCCAGCGGAAATGGGACATCGCACCGGCGCGCCGCCCGGCGGGACGAAACCGAAGATGCATGGCCAAAATTGGAAAAAATTGGTCTAAAGAGTTTAGACAGTACTTCCCTCGCTGTCGGAAACTTGACGACTGCATGGCTATTGTGTTTTTTTCTCATTACATTTTTGTAGTGGGAATTTAAAATTGCGATGACGTCATCAACATTTTTGCAAGGACACGGATATCAGTTGGGATAGATGTAGTGTAATACTAAGAATAAAATTATTGTATTCCCAAATTTTCGGGAAAATGAATTGGGTCGTTTTGAATATTGATTTTTTATAATCAATAAAATAACGAAACAATTTACTCACGTATACGGCAACTGAAAATCGTTTATGTATAAACATTCTTAATTTAAGATGACAAGCGTAACAGCATACGTGAGAGCCAAACAGAGAAACTGTAAACAAAACGACCATCGGTTTTATTGCTTCGACTTCCGCTTATTATATAAAACATTGGGTTTTATTTTAATTCTTGACGGTGAAATTCATAATTGGTTGATTATAAACATGTCTATTTCACATTCGCGGAACCAAGTGAACAAATGCAGGTCTGTAATGTTAAAGTCGATGTAAATAAGCGTGCTACCCTTATGTTTCAACCGAGTTTTTCCTTTAACAAATTTTGTGTCTACCAAATTGGGTTGGTTGGGGTGTAATACTAATAATAAGTGTTGCCTTTAATTTAATCAATAAAATAAATTGACTTCATTAATTTTTTTTGAACCACCTCTTAAGAAAATCTAAAAAATATGAATGGAATGATAAATCACAAGTACAAACTCATCATATTTTTTGCATTTTAGATAGGATTTATTCAGCAAAATTTAAGGGTGACGTCATAAATTTTTTTAGGAGGGATGAACAAATACATTTTGAACAAAAGTTTACCATGCTTATAATAACTTTAAAATATTCCCAA